CATCTATGTTCTGGATACAGTTAATCTGTTTAATGATGTTCCTTGCTTTGGTGGCCAATGGAGGAAAGACTTCAGCTTGCTTCTCAACCAGGATTCTTTTTATTTTAGTTGCAGACTAATCTTTGATCCCTTCATACCACTAGGAATAATTACAGTGCAGTGTTGGAGTTACCTGGGACTACCTAATACTAATGTTGTGTGCGTGCAAGAATGCTTTCTGAATGTATTTAATACAACTTAAAGTGGTATGGTGTTATCTATGAAGGTGAATACTGTTTTTATATAATTTTGTATGGAAAACAATAACATCTGTCGCTCTGTTCTGTACATGTGCAAATAAATGTGGCTTTGTAGACTACTCTCTCGACGCCTGTGATGTTTTCTATAACACGGGTGTATTACCTTAGTCTTTCTACGTTTTAAAGCATGAATCTTAATTCCAGGTGGCTGTACCTTAGAAGCTCTATATCCAAAATTGTTCTTACTGCCTTTAATTAATGCCTATTAACTGAATATGAAACGCTGCTATAATCCATCTTGTCTCAGCAGGAAGAGAAATCTCATATATCATATGCCAAATCGCAGACCGGGAAGTCCTAGGAAGATTTCAAAATGGAAATGACATGTAAGCTTATTCTAGTGAATGAAATTCCATATATACCCCATTTTTCTGGAACACAGGGCAGACTTTTGCAGAGTTCTAGTTTTGGAGGGTGTCAGTTTTTGGATTTCTGCATTTGAACTCAGAGCAGTGGCAGAATTCTGTGTTCCAAAGTGCTGAATTTAGTGGCTTAAAGAAATGTGTCTAGCAAGGGATGAAGTGGAGCGTTCTTTCAGCAGAAATAGACACAGAGGGAATGGTCCTCCAGCATCCTCCTTCTCAACAAGTTCAATACTTTGTTCTGATTCTTCAGTCCCTTCCCCATTTCAATATCCTTTTTCCCTCTGCTTCTCTACACCTGAGAATCATTTCTAGTTCTTGTCAGTAGTCTCCAACCATGTTTCCTTCCCCTCAGAGGAATGTGGTGCTTTACTGTTGTTGTGTTAAAGGATAAAGGAATTTGGCAGCAAATGAACCCTGTTGTGTTCCAGCTTGTGCTCGGATACCAGAGGGGCTGGGGGCGGCTGGGCTTAGATCTGAGTGATACCCAATTCAGCACTCTAGGCCTGGTTGTGTTCAATGTATTGAACTGCCATGAATGGCCTATATGTGCTTTCGGTCTAGCTGTGTTCAGTGAAGTTCTATGACCAGATTTAAGGAGATTGGTCTCATCCAATGAGAACTCTGATGGCTCGATTAATGAATAGTGCAATGTATTGAAGCAACAGAAGCGCAGATTCTTTTTGGATGGCCGGTCATAATATGCTGTCTGCAAAGCACGTGCAAGTAACAGCATAAACCACCTCAAGTAATACAGTAGCCTGAAGCAACTCAATCTAGAGATTTCTAAGTTTCCTGGGGAAGCACTCAGTGTAGCCAAGTGTTTGAATCTCACCCAATAGGTGTCCCTATTGGGGGAAGGAGAGGCTCAGCCCCTCGACTGGTCCCAGAAGTCAGCAATGGTTCATGATGGTGTCTTCCTTAACACCCCTCCATTCTTAAGCCATTTTTATACTGTTATTTACCTTCCAGGTGGAGTTTGAGTGACTCCAGTCATACAAGTCTCAGTGTAAAATTTCCTCACTTTGTGTCAAAAGGTATAGACTAGTGAAGATCTAGAGCACAGACTCAGTGAGGGGTGGTCACACCTTGGAGGTGGGTAGCTTTTAGGATGGAGGTGTGTTATGGTGTTATAATGACACTATAATGAGCAAAGTTCAACCTAAGGGCATGATTTTTTACAAAAAATAAGGAACTGTTGGCTCAGGGTAACAAGTATGCAGCTTGTTGGTTTTCATAGCACTGTAAGTTCCCATTCCCTGCGCTGATGCCCAGAGTTTGGCTACGGTATCTCACACTGCCCCACTCTCCACACTGGGGTTTTTTCCCCACCTTAGAATCTGCTGACTCTAAGATTGCAGGTCATGCAGCCCAGGGAACTACGGTGGAATACATTCCCTGCCTATCAGCTGCACTCCACCCTGGAATTTTCTTCAACACTGTACCTTTTCTTAAAATGTGAATATAACTGTAGTTATTAAGTCACCTCCAGTAATTATTCTACAACTGTGCTTTTTTTTTTTTTTTAAGGACAAGCAAAAGTTCAAACGCCTTATTGAAGATGTTAAATACAGCATTTATCACAAGGAACAAAATTTATACTGAGTACTTGAGTAAACTTTACTGCTTCACGTCTCAACTAACTTCACATTTCAGATTGCCTTTGGAAGCCATTTACATTTTGTTGATTATATTTTTTTCCTTAACATTGAGTATTTTTAAAGTTTCTTATTTTGAGCTTAGTTGAGTGTTTCAGTGCTGTAGTGTATTTACAGGTTTTAATGGCTGATACTGCAGTCATTGTGCAAAGCTAGAGAAGTAGGTTGCTAGTCAGAAGCCACTGGTTTCAGAGGAGCAGAGTTGAGAAAAACAGCATGGTGGGTCCTGGTAAATTAAATAGGGGTTGGATTGTTTGTAATGTCTCAAGTTATATTACAGGCAGCAATGTGTTTTGACAAGGTGAAAATAAAGGGTGGTTTTTTTTAGTATGAAACTGGTGATGCATTTGATAGTTTAATGTTTGTTAGAAGAAACTTACTGCCATGGTTAAACTGTGCTGTTAATTAATAGCCTTGTTAAATCTAAGCAGCTCAATGCAACATAAATATCAGTGTGTGATAACTTCCTAAGAATGGAGTTTTCTAAAAGCTACAAATTCTAACCAATATTCCACTACAGAAATCATAGGAGATAGTGGTATACTATCAACACAATATTGCATGAAGATCTGTCTTTATAAAGCAGTAGTATTTTTAGTAATCATTATGATTGCCCTCAAGGTCCCATCCTCTTACCCTTAAACAATTTCAGAGCTGTGGATAGGGCTGAGACCATGGGTGCAATTTCCTTCCTCTGTTCGCAGTCAACTCTTTCAAATAGCTGGCAATTTCTAGACTGAATTTGATACAACAGCTTGGGATTTCTGAGATTTAAGTGCAGATAGCATAGGGGTAGGAAATGATTAAAACATTTTCTTATTTCCCTTCACTGTAGCAGTAAGTAGAGATCAAAGGAAAAATCTCTTACTATCGTGTTCTCTTTTCACTCAAGTAGTGTGGGAAGAAGAACGATCAAGAAGAGGAAAAATTAAGAGTGAAGTTGAGACGCTTTATGTGAGTGGGCAACATACCATGTATGCTGTCTGCCTGTCCGATGGAGTGCTGCCATCAGATGGCCCCTTCTGGCTTTAAGCATCACTTTATAAGGTGGTTGTTTGGGAATTTTTTTTGGTGCTTTTATATCATTTACTTGGTGCCTCTCCTTCAGTCCTGATGCACAGATAAACTGGAAGGCCCCAAGAATGTCTTTTTTCCATGATGCTTCACTCAGAGTCCTTGTCAGAGTAGATTTTTATGCAGATTGTTCATTAATTATAAGCTGAAACATGACTTTGCGTAAAAGGTACACCTCTTCAAATTCCTGCTAATTTACTTAAGGTGATGTCTTTGTGCTTAGAACTGCTTCATTGTATGTATTCAAAGGAACACTGAAAATAATTTTTTCTGCAGAAAGTAGGTATTGGTGAACTGAACGCACACAGCAAAAGTAATTTCCAAAACCAGAACATTTGCAAATAGGTTTCTAGAACATCTTTAGTTTATCAGGAAAGTAATGGGCTTGTGGTTAGGTCCCAGTTATAATTTTGAGATTCTGGTTCAGCTGCTGATTTTTTTAGCAATTACTGTGGTGCAACAGGACAAACCTATTCATTTTATGAATGTTCCAGACCTTTAAACTGAGTTTCACTGCTCAAAAAAGTATTTATCTGAGACTACTTGTATTTATGACAGGATGAAAAGTTGTGGCACTGGTGTATGAGTAATATACATAGATCTGTGTTTTGGAGGATATAATTTTGCTCTTTCAGAATATTTTTTTTTCCTTCATTTCAATTTTAGAGCAAACCTGTGTTTTACCACAAACCTTTTTCAGGCAATTGTTATTAAGTGTCAGTGTTCTATTATATGTCAAAATGTGAGGCATTCAAAGCTTGAAAATGTATTATCAAGAGTCAAAGTAATATGTTACAAGTTCTATGATTTTCTAGAAATGCACTGTTAGTTGTCACGCTTGGAACCATTTTTGTAATAGGGAAGCAATAATGGCTTTTTCTTGTTATTTGTTATTCTGGCTAAGAAAGTTGCTTTAAATCTGGATTATGAACAACTGTTACCTGTTTAGATTTGTCTAACTGGAAGAGTGAATTTGTGTTCCTTTTCTTCCTTTGATATATTAATTTTAAAAAGACGTTTGTTTTTTAAAAATAATGTAAAAAATAGTGTAAAAATTGATCTGTATTTTCATCCAAACATCCCAGGTCAAGAGAACTTTATTTTTAAGTGCCTTTGACATGGACTATATTCTTCCATGTATTAGTGCAGTATTCTACACTGTGAACCCCTACATTCTGTATGGAGCTTTTTGGTGCTAATCATAAATATATAACCAAAACTGTATGTACTGTTGTTGTTATAAAGTAAGTGTTGACTTTTATGGACTTAGGAGAACTTTTACCAACTTATGATTTGCTTTGGGTTCTTGACTGTTATAGCAGATACTGAATCGTCTGGGAAATGCAACATCTCTTGTACTTACACAAAATCACGTCTTAAAAGAGCCATCCAATGTGCCAGCTACTCAGTTTATTTATATTACAGCATTAATTCTGAGTCGATCCTTCTGTGAATTTTAATAAATCATAAGGGATCTCTGCATTTCTAGCTCAGTAGTTAAAATTACTAAGATGTCACTGCAAATAAGTTAATAGTATTATCCTAATGAAAGCTGTCAGAAATAGATCCTACTCTTTCATTAGCATTGCATGGATAAGAGTACTCACATTTGTAGCTTCAGTTCTGCAGAACAGAAATTAACTGAAGTCTCACTCTGCTATAAAGCTTTAAACTTTGTCCTTTGGAAGCCAGCTATGATGAATTCCATGAATCTTTATCTTTGACTTTAGTTCAAAGGTGATTAGAAGTTATGTTTGTATAACATCTGCACGTATAGGATTTACACCTAGAAGAAAAGAATATTTGATATAAATATGACTTATTGAAGTTACTGGAGGAACAAATAACACAGACCAGCAGTCAGAGCAGTGCTCATCAGCCTTTTAACAGCTTCAGACCTAGAAGAATCATTGTTGAGACTAAACTACACAATGAGCAGTGTCCAGAACAACTTGAAAATTGCAAACGTAGATTAAACTGAGTAGCTAGAATGAGCTGCAACATTTTATGTCCATGTAAAGATTTAGAATTATTTTGGGTATCCATATGAAACTGAAGTCAGAGCCATTTTCAGGGCTATTTTGACAAATACAGTAACAATATGCAGATCTCAAGGTGTGAGTCTGGTCATTTGACCTCACACACAAACTTGTTGAAGTACATAATTTTAGGTGTCAAAATACCTGGCTTTTCCATTTTTAGGTGAATCAGCTCCACTTTGCCAGGCTCAAAAAGGGACTGTTAACTTTTCTAGATCCATTATTGGATTTTGTGTCATCTCCATGGTTGTTGTGCAACATTATGAAATACTCTTTTGACCAGTTGTTAAATTGGTGGGATAAAATTTTTGTCTTTTTTTTTTTTTCATCATGCAACACTTAGTCTATAGAGTAAGTTCCTCCAATATAAATTTCTCGTGTCTTCCTTTTCACTCATCTGTCCTAATCTGTAGAAACTTGGGAATAGAAAGAAAAAGAAAGAAGAAAAAAAAAAAGCCTGTCCTATTTTTCTTCTCACCAGGTTTCTTTGCATTTGTCACATTTTAGCTGCTTGGTATTCCATTTCTCCCCTTTCACTTCCCAGAGGATCACAGGGAAGGTCACCAATTACTAACCCTCTAAGCAATACAAGATCCAAGGGAGTGAAGGGGAGAGACTGCTGATGCTGGGGATGGGGCTGTGCTAAATGTAGTCAGGAGCGAGTGGGGGCAGCTGATCTCTGGTATAATTTTCCCCGGTGCACAGGACAGCTCAACGGGGCATTACCCAACAGCAGAGGCAGCTGGTGTCCCGGGTCATAGGATAGGTCCGTCTGACTACCAGGTCATGTGGCAAAGGAAGGGGCCAAAGTGTTAGATTGCAACTGGAGGGGCATGTCATCTACTGTGATTTTTTTGTTTGCAGGACACTGCTGGTTAATGTGACCCTGGCTCATTTTGTGCCCTCTCTCGCAACCTCTGGTAGATGATCTGTTTGCTGGCTCGGTAGATCGGGGTAGGCACCAGTAGACCAGCAGGTTTGAGTTGTGGAGGAGGTGGAAGGGGGAACTATGCTGCAAACAGGGTACAGTTTAGGTTTGTGGAAAGAGAAAGCAGAGCGAATTCTGCGTGAGTCACACTCAGGACTGAAGGAGGGGCAGGTGTACTAGGAAGCAAATATCAGGTTGGGAAGGAATGCAGGTTCTTGAGTCACTATCAAGAAGAGCGAGAGGAGAGGCTACACCGTTGTTAGATTGCAACTGGAGGGGCATGTCATCTACTGTGATTTTTTTGTTTGCAGGACACTGCTGGTTAATGTGACCCTGGCTCATTTTGTGCCCTCTCTCGCAACCTCTGGTAGATGATCTGTTTGCTGGCTCGGTAGATCGGGGTAGGCACCAGTAGACCAGCAGGTTTGAGTTGTGGAGGAGGTGGAAGGGGGAACTATGCTGCAAACAGGGTACAGTTTAGGTTTGTGGAAAGAGAAAGCAGACTGAATTCTGCGTGAGTCACACTTGGGACTGAAGGAGGGGCAGGTCTACTAGGAAGCAAATATCAGGTTGGGAAGGAATGCAGGTTCTTGAGTCACTATCAAGAAGAGCAAGAGGAGAGGCTACCCCACGCAAGAGACTGGGAACCAAAAGGTGAAGCCCCTTTTGTAGGTAAATTAGACATACTGTGTTGAGGTGACCAGGGAAGTGCAGGACAACGACGTGAAGCCTTTGAGGCAAAGCTGACTTCTAATGAAAACCACTCTGCAAGATTTCATTGATAGCACAACATCATACCGATATCACTAGTGTACGACTCCCTCATAATTACTACTTTAATGCATAACCTGTCTTTATTTATTACTTCAGCATTATTTAGAACTCCATACTGGGTAACAGGTTGCTAAGAAACAGGGAGTTCCTTAAAAAGCATGACATATCACCTGCTTAGCTTTGGTATATTGCTCTGTGACACATGATGTAGAGATAGCATGTGGATTTTCTAGTTGTCTTAACAGCCTGAAAACTGCCAAGCACCTTTAAAAGACTTTGGAGTTGAGTTAGTATTCCCCAGGCGGAAGGATTGTACTTAGCACGTAGTGCATGAGAAAACTCCAAAAATTTCTGTTCTGAGTTCCCAATGACCCCGTATAAATAATCTAAAACACATCAGTGCACACAAAATATAGTTTATCATCCAAAAAAGCTAGAAAATTGTCAGCAGCTATATTAGCAATCATGCAAATCAATGTAAGCCTAAAACTGATAGTCCACCTTAAAATCAGATGGAAGATGTATATTAAAAGTGCATTCATAATCCAGAAAAAATCCTAATACAGCTCTTGTTGCATTTCCCCTAACACAATCTGCCACAAACCCAGTACAAAAGAGCCTGATAGAGGCTAAATTCTGATGTGACCAGAACTAGTTTCTTTGTATTCAAAACATCAGTGTAGCTTTCAGAACATAGTTAATTATTAAACCTATGCGTATAATCAGGACACCTGACTTTGCAGATTGTGAGCTGGTTAGCATAGTGTACTTCTGTTTAAGCAGATGAGAGAAGGAAAACAGGTTCATAAGTTTATTTGCAATGTTTTGTTGTGTAAAGAAAAATAATGTAGAATATTCTTGCTAACCGCACAGTTTCAGCGCGTTCTAGATTTAATCTAAAATGTCAAGGTTCTTGGACCAGAGAATTTTGTTCTTAGTAATTTCATTTTTAACAAGTCTGCAGAGTACAAAGGTGCTTTCGGAATGGAAGAAGTGTGGTGATCGGGAATGTGAGAGTAAGTAAAAAAGTTTTTTTTCTGTCAACAGGAGTCTATGGTGTATGTGCAGCTATTACGAACTATGTCAAAAATAGCAATGAAACAGACTGAAAATGAGTAGCCGTAGAAAATGTTTGTTGTAAGTATACTAAGTTTATAAGCAATCGGCTTAAACATTTCCAACAAAAAGAGGAAAAAAATACTTGCCGGATTGCGTTGTGTAAGTATGGAAAGATCAAGGTTCAGTAAAAATGCTCTTGAATAGCTGGTTTTCCTAGGATTTCCTCAAAATGGGCAGTATAAAGTAGCTTTAAAGTATTTTTAACTCATTCTTTACAGGTACAAAATATTTTTTTAAAAAAATCGAATAAAACTGGTAGGCTATAAACTGAGAAAAAAGACTGTGTATCTTGTGTTTACAGTACATTCACAGCCCGTTCTGCAAAATTCTTATTTTTTCTACTGTAAGGAAACTGGTTGGGTTTTTTGTAATCCTTCTCACAAAAGACACTGTTAATATACCCTCTGCACTTATATTTTTCTTTAACATGAAGGAAGAGCAGTAACTAGTTATGGAGTTCTTGGGGAGTAAACAGCTCTGCAGGAGGCAGAGCCACTGAATCACAACTGGGTAGCGATAAATAATGCCCCGTTTTTTATCCATTGATTACCGTTGTGAAACCTGTCGTAATCATATGTAGTTGAAGTTGTTTCGAAGCTCTCTCCGTTGCTTTGGCAGCCTTAATTATTGCACTTTCAGTGGGGGTAGCTCATCCTGAAGTAGAAGAGACCTTAGATTTCCTTTGCTGATGTATCTTTATTTTCCTGTGGAGCCACAGTGACTTCAGCAGGTTCTGGATGCACAGAGATGTCTGTCTTTGTGGAACAGCATGTGGACAGGGCTCCAACCTGACCAGAGTACATCAGGAGTGGTTTCTGTGGGGAGACAAGGGCAGAAAACAAAAATAATTTAAAGTCATTCAAACTGAATTGGAAACGGGTTTTGACAATGTATTTAAGGTTTATATTGCTTAAACTTAACTATTTTGTCATAAGATAGATGTCTCCAAAATAGAGGACAAAATCCCTGATATAATTGCTAGATTTAACTTGGAATTTCTAAAATATACAATTATAAATATGCCTGGGAAATATTTTTAGTTGTTTAGATCTGGCTTTTGTAGTTGAACTTGCTAATTCTCCACACACACTTCAGCATTGAAAGCTTCCCTGAATAAGGACTGGAAAATGCTCGTATAGGACAAGAGCTTTTCTCCACGTGTCTGCAGTAAATGGGAAAGAAAACAGGATAGCGCTGCTTTTTGCATTAGTTGCTCTCCACTTGACGATATAAATGGATTAGTATCATAATAAACCACATATTGATGTATTAACAAACATTTTAATTTATTATTATTTATATATATCAGACTTCTTCAGTAACCTATCTGACTTCAGATGAAATGGCTGCAATATTTACTTGTTTCTTTCTTTCCACATACTATTCCAGCGGCAATGAGCAGAGTTCAAGCCACTACAGACTTCTTAGGGCCTGATTGCCGGTATCTTAACTTCAAAACGGGGGAAGAGATAATGGTATACTCCAAACTTTCAAGGAAAAATGAAAATTTGTGGACAGGAAGTGTAAGTACTTCAATCTGAAAGACTTTCCCCGTAAATAATTTGGATGGTATCATAATAGTGTAACAACTGCAGTCTGCTTGCTTCTAGGGACCTTCCATCTCTTTTGTAATATTAACCAGTCAATAGGATTTGGGAGATGGATCATTAGTGCTATCTCTACACAGAAAGGGAAAATCAAATCTTGGCAAAGATCACTCATGGAGAAACAAAGTCAAGAAAAAGAACAGAAAGAGGAGCCTACAGAGGATGGCAGCAAGGACAGGCAGCCTGGGAGAATACAGAGAAATTGTCCGAGCAGCCAGGGATCAGGTTAGGAAAGCTAAAGCCATGATAGAATTAAATCTGGCTGGGGACATCAAGGGCAGCAAGAAAAACTTCGATAGGTAAGTTGGTCACAAAAGGAAGGCTAGGGAAAGTGTGGGCCCACTCCAGAAGGAAACAGGAGACCTGGTCACTTGGGACTCGGACAAGGCTGAGGTACTCAACAACTTTTTTGCTTCGGTCTTCACCGGCAAGGGCTCTAACCACACCATCCAAGTCTCAGAAGGCAAAGGCAGGGACTGGGAGAATGAGGAACCACCCACTGTAGGAGAAGACCAAGTTCAAGACCATCTAAGGAACCTGAAGTTTAAATGCTCTCATTCCTTTTATATTTTTTTACAGAAAGGAAAGGATTTTGGATATTTCCCAAAAGATGCTGTGAAGGTTGAGGAAGTTTTTATTACAGAAGAAGTTGAAGTGCTCACCAAGGTAAACCAACATCAGCACATTTTCCAGTGTACTTCACAGCAATTGAAAAATCTAATATCCAGTTAGAAATTCAAGTGTGGATGCATATTTTATTTCAGATCATTTAAAACATGGGGCGGTTTTTTTCATTATTGCTCCATTTGCATGTTTATTGTCCTCTAAAATAATTTTTATCTAATAAATGATATAGAAGCATTAGGAATAATATAATTACAGTCCTTTGTGTAGAGTTATGCACACGTCTAACTACACAAAAAGAAAGAGAATAAAGGTGTATTGTTGTGCTACACAGAGCTATAGAAAATTACACATGAAAGCATTATAAAAGTTAATATTGTTCTTTTAGGAAACTGATTTCCTTTGTCTTCACGGAGATAAGTACACTTTTGAAAATGAAGATAGCGCATTACATGATCACAACAAAGACAGTGAATATTCATCACCTGACGCAGAATCAAAGCTGCATGAAAATGAACTCTTAAAACATGCAAGAGACTCCATGCAAAAGGAAGAAAGAGTTGAATCAATTTCCGAAAATGATTCCATGGAATGTCACACTCAGGAGGAGTCTGCAAGTGACAAGTTGGTTAGAAAAAATGAGAACAGAAGAGGTGACGCTGAAGACCCAGAAATGCAAAACAATGTCCCACCGGAACCTGTTCCAACTCAGTCTAGTTGGATTGCAGGATGGTTCAGCACTGGAAGTAACAACAACGAAGAGCCCTTAGAAGCCATTACTGAATCTTTAGAAGAAAATACATACCGAGGCAGAAAAATAGCGGTAACTGCTGAAAATGACTTACAGGAGCCAAATGATAAGGAAGAACAAGAACCCCCATCATCTGCCTGGTTTCAAGGTGGACTGACGGACTTTCTGTATTTTGGTGAAGAGAAGGCGGATGTTGGTTTGGCATTGGAAAAAAATGATACACAAATCCATGATGTTTCTGATATGCCAGGACATTCCAATAATGAACAGGAAACAGCAGTTACAGAGTTACTGACAGAAGAAGAAAAGACCGAAAGCCAAGAATCCACATCAAATTGGTTTAATTTGGGTTTAAGTAATGTTCTTAATTTTGGCCATGCTGAGAAGGATGTAATTCCTATGGAAGACCAGCCAAGCAGAGAAACAGAGAATGAAGCAAATAAGAATGAAGAAGTGCAGACTTTAGACCACAGAGGATCACACATAGATGAAGAATCAAAGGAGACAGTTAAAGCAGTGACAGATGAAGAGATTTATGCACAAGAAATAATAGATTCAAACAGCAACATGCCCAATCCGGAAGAGATACCAGCAAGTGTGCGTACTCTGAATGATACCAAAAGCACCTCAAATAGCATAGAATCATCTTTTGATATACTAACACATGACAAAGAGAAGGCAACTGAACCTTGTTCAGAACAAGACTTGGTCTCAGAAAGCCAACTGCTGAAAAACACTGAAGATAAAAAGAGAAATGAGGAGTCGGAGAGCAAACATGGCCAGTCAGGTTGGTATGCAAATATCTATAATAGCTTTATTAATTATAATATGGACACATATGATAATCAACAGGGACATGAATCAATTGCATCAGATCAGATTTCTTCTTCTCCTAGCCTACCTCAGACTTGTGATCCCTCAGATACAAAAAATACAGAAGAAAAGCCTGACATATCTGAAGAACAGAGCCATTTCTTCTCTTTTAGTCATTTTTCAGACATACTGAAGTTTCGGAGTTCAACAGCCAAAGAAGAGCAAGTGCAGAATTTGCAAGATAATGTGCTTTTTAGTGAAGAAACCTCTCAAACTGAAAACAATGATGAAATATTACAAGGAACTAATAACAGAGCAATGAAAGTACAAGCAAATCAGAGAGTTAGTGAGGAGTCTGAAGAAGATGAGGGTGCAATCCAAGAAAGCAATCTGTTTTCCTCACCAGCTGTGCAAAATAATGAACGCAGTAATGAAAAAGCAAAACGTTTTGTCAAATTAGTTGACAATAGTGATGCTTCCCAGATTTTATCTGTCGAAACACTAGTACAACCTGAAGTATCTCAAAGACAGTATGTACCCTTATTTAGCCATTCCAGTGCTGAAGAACGTGTTTCTAAGAGTAGTGAAAGTCAGGAACTACCGGGAACTGCAGATAATCATCCGGGCATCGGGAAGACCCCTTGTGACAGTGAGCCAAGTCTTACTCTGGAAATATCTAAGAGAGGAAAAAAACTCAAAAGCTGTGATACAGAACAAAATTCAGCATTGAAAAAACAGTTCAGAATGGATGGTGATGTAAAAGAGAAAATTCACAAACTAGAGAATAAAAACAACCCACTGTTTTTTTATGAAAACATCAAAGATTTCAGTCAGGATATTTTTAATGATGAACAGGATCAGAAATCTGAGGAGTCACAAGAATTGACTCCAGGCCAACCTTCCTCTCCTCACCCTTCATCTAGTGGCTTCAGTTTAACAGGTGCCAAAACTTCAGAAGAATCTGGCCACTTGGAAGGCATATGGAGTTTCAGGATGGAAGGTAAAAACTGCTTGCTGAGAACAGTACAGCTAAGCTTCCCTGAGGAAAAAGGTCTCAGTATGAGCCTTGATAAAATACTATGGTTAAACCTAACAAATCAGATAAAAGTAATGCAGATACCTCCAAAGAGAATGATCTTTCTTTTCAGCTGGCAGTGCAAAGTAACAAACAGGGCAGTGGAGGAAAAAAACAAACAAAATCTACCAGATTAGTAAAAAATAAGAAAATACTTGATGATCTTGCTGACAGCTTGTCAGGAGAGAAGCTGCAAACTGAACAAACTTCTATGAATGTGCAATGTCATCAGAAAGGTGAAGCAGAAATAACACTGGAAGATTCATGTTCCAAACATGAGCTTCTGGTACCAGAGAATGGATCAGAGGACAGTCTCAATCCAGATCTTAGAAAGAAATATAAAAATCACATGTGATACAAAGAAAAGATTATTCTGTATCATCAGAGTTAGGCCCATCAATTCAAGCTGTTATGACAGTGCAAGATACAAAAATATAGAAAATGAATCTGAGTTTTGGAAGGCAACATCAAACACGACTTCAAAAGGCACAGTAATAGCAAAGTCTTCAGCTGAATACAAGTCCAAAAAAAATTTGCAAAGAAAACTTAGTGATAACAAAAGCAACAGAGCAATCATGTGATATCAGTCTGATTGAATGCAAACTTTTACTCTAGCAGCCCTCTAAAACAGAAGACAATTTTTAAAGAAAGAAAAAAAAAATATAAAAAAACATTACAGTTAGTGTCTCCTAAAACGCCCGAACTAGAAAGCCAGACTGGTATTAAAAAACCCAGATTGAATAAATCCCGCCAACCTGGGATTACTGAAAAACCTGGTTTATAAAGTATACGTTGAAAAATAAGATACTGCTGTAACTGAAAGGATGCAAATTAATTGCTTCTACTAAAACAAGATAGGAGAGGGAAAGAACAAAAGAACCTGGTAATCAGAGAGAGTCAAAGTCCAGAAATATAAATAATTAAAATTATATTCTAACGTAAATGGTTCCAGGCAGTATTTTTATCAAACCATCAGGGTTCTATGCAAATATATTTAGTAAAACTAACAATTAGGCCTGTAGAAGTAAGTCTGAGGATACACGTTTTGTCAAAAAAACCCCAAATGAAAATAGGGATGACACTAGGACTAGCAGAATTAAATACTGCACAGAAGAATGAAATAGAGTTAAGAGAAAAGGAATCTGAACAAGAAGAAGATACTACTAAATCTGTAGAAGGTGCAGAAAATGATGAAATCAATTTATAAATCACGCAAGATAAATTTGAGGAAGGACACCTCATCATTTTAGAAAAAATACTGCTGCAGAATCCAATGAAAACAAGGAAATTGACAAAATCCTAATAGGGCAGGCAGCATTCATGTCCCCAAACCCAAGCAAAACCAGGCAAATATTTTGTGATAAACATGCAGATTTACCAAACCCATTGATTACATTCCAACAACTTTACTGAACATCAAAACAAAATGTTAAGCAAGCCTTAGAGCATCTCTGTGAGGGAAGAAAACTGATGCACCTGCACCAGCAATTCAAAAAGATTCATCATGAAATCACAGCTGGCTCATGTAAAAACAGTGTTACGCAGAAGAAACAAGTAATTGCATCTGCACAATTTTGTCACTGGGCAGGAAAAATGTATGGAAAAAAAAAAAAAAGAAATGTTCTTCTAGAGGTGCCAGAGCTTTTGTCTGCTGTAACAGTTCAGTGTGCAGCCCTAACTGCAGCTAACCTCACTAATGCTTCACTAACAGTGATTTAGCAAGAATAAAATATGCTTTGTTTGAGGAAAAAAGATACAACAGAGACAACACTGTCTCCTTCTGGTGATTTAAAATCAAGAGGTAGCGAGCCTAACTCACAGTAGTTGGTGACTGATCTTTGGTATTGGTATTGGATTTATGATAATGGTAACAGTTTAAGAGGCAGTTACTCTTTCTGGCTTTTGACTATTGGATTATTTGTGATGTGTATCTTTGGCCAGTACTAGTTTGAATCACAGAATTGAAAAATTAATCAATTTGTAAATTTGGGGTTTTTTCTATGTGGGTAAGCAAGGTGTGAGGTTTTTTGAAAGCTGTATTTTATCAGCTTCAGGAAATTGATTCCAGGTTACTGAGAGTGAGGCAGCGAGGTGCCTTCAGTCATACTTCTGTATGAACATGCCTGTGGTTTCTTGTATTTCACAGTGAAGTTTGTTATCTTGTGGGAAGTCGTTAATCTTTAATCCTACATGGCATATTTAATTGTTCTTTTTGTAAAGCTTTTCCCACTTCTATTTGGATATATTATAAGAGCAAGCTCTGCAAATCCTGAACAGGGAATCTATAGGCTAATTATCAAAAGCGTATTTTTTCCTGAACATTGATTTTAACTACTTTACTGCAACACCAGTTTTGCTTAAATCTCTATCCTCCAAACTCTGAGACCATTATTTGAACGAGTATTTCTTAAATCATAAATCTACAGCACATTTTTACTCTAATGCAGCACTCTAGAGTTTGGCTTGAAGTTGAGGAAAATAAAAATATCAAAATATCTGTAGAGGTTAATAGCTGAATCCTCTGAAAATAAACATGATTTCCCTTCACAATTATTTCTAGGAGTAGGCAGTAGAAGAAAGCTACTAGAAAAAACACGAGAGAAGGAACTTGACATGAATGCAGCTGTAGACAGCGAACGTGGCAGTGACCAACATTCAAAAGCAACAGTGATTCCTTCAGTGAATTCTGAAGTGACTTCTATCTCAGATGCCATCCAGAACTATGTTCCAAGTAATGGTAAGTGTTGAGTTTCTTAATTTTAAGGAAAATAAATTTAAAATATTAAAAAAAACTTACTTGGAATTATATTGAGTTGCCAATTGCAATGTAAAATCTTTTTTTTTTTCCTTCATGAACAAACCAGAAGGAGGTTGGATGTATCAGATATTCCTGTGCTTGAATGCCCTTGAGATCCGGGAATCAATAAAATCTGTATTTTCAGCAGTGAAGAGCATTATCACAAAGGTAAGAATTCTTTATATGATATAGTGTTGACATTAGTGCAAAATTAAGCCAGTTACTGGTTATGGTGTGCAATGAAACTCTTAAAAAAAAAAGAAAGAAAGAAAAAAATATCCTTTTAACAAAACCCTCTGCGGTCCCCTTACTTCTGGGGGTATCTGATGCTAAATGAGATAGAGACGGAACAAGAAAATGTCAGGTTAGCTGCTGTTCACCTGCCTCTGTTGTTTGCACTGTGGAATCTGATGAACTTAGTGTAGTGGTGGTTTGGTTTTTTTTTACAGCACAGCCAGAAAACACCTCAGTGATCAAAAATATCAGCATTTGGGGTTTTGTTTTTTTTTTTTTTAAATTCATAGCTCACTCTAGTTCCCATGCCAGTACTGATTAAATTTGCTTGGCCTTAGAAAGCTTAGATTAGGATAAATAAAACAAACAGAATACTTCCATTGTTTTTAAAAGTAATTTCAAAGCCTTGATTCACAAAGATTGCCATAGTTCATAATTGCATTAAAAATACTTTTTTAAGCAAATATATAAAATACAAAATGGGAGTACGACTGCTATAGGGATGTCTTAAATATCAAAATGTAGGGACAGAGTACAGGTGGAGCTTACTGGACTTAACTGCACCAGAAACAATGTGGCCAGAGGAATGTGAGAAAAGATAGACAGTGTTGCACTGTACCCTCTAAGCAGAAGAATAATATCAGGTAAAGTGGTATATGGTAAACTTAATAATTTTGGTATTTTGGTTTAGCTTTGTTTAGATTGGGTAACCAAAGTTTAAGAACCACATACATCTGTTCCTGATTTCCAGGGTACTTACACAGATTCTGCCTAAATTGCAGTTTTGTTTTTTTCACGATCTCTTAGGTAGTACCAGTACATGTTAAAAAAAAAAAAAAAAGAAAGAAAAAAAACATCAAAAACTGAGTCCTGGTGAATAAGAATCTGCTGCTGTGTGGCATGGGTGCTACTGTCTCTAACATCTTCCCTCACATTCTCCCTGTACTTGGCACTGGTGAGGCCCCACCCTGAATGCTGTGACCAGTTTTGGTCCCCTCACTACAAAAAAGACATTGAGGTTCTGGAGCGTGTCCAGGGGCCCTTCTCTGGACATTCACTGCCCTTAATGAAGCTGGGGAGGTGTTTGGAGCACAAGTCTTATGATGAGCATCTGAGGCAGCCGGAGTTGTTTAGGCTGGAGAAAAGGAGGCTGAGGGGAGGCCTTATTACCTTATTGCTCTCTACAACTACCTGACAGGAGGTTGTAGTGACGTAGGGGTCAGTCTCTTCTTCCCAAATAACGGGCAAGAGGACAAGAGGAAACAGCCTCAAGTTGAGACAGGGGAGGTTTAGATTAGATATTTGGAAAAATTTTTACACTGAAAGGGTTATTAAGCATTGGAAAAGGCTGTCGAGGGAAGTGGTGGAATTGCCATCCCTGGAGGTATTTAAAAGACGGGTAGACGTGGTGCTGAGGGACATGGTTTAGTTTTTGTCAGTGTTAGGCTGACGGTTGGACTCGATGATCTGAAAGATCCCTTCCAACCTAGATGACTGTGTGTGTGTGTACCAACAGGCCCAGTACGATCAACTTTTAACAAACGTAGCAGAAGTAGTCTAGTTTAAACCATGTCGAAGTACTCCCCGCGCGTCCCGCCGGGGCACCGACCCAAGGCCTTGCGCAAGGTCCACCTGCCGCCCTCCCCGCCCCCGCCGGGCAAATGTCCGCCCCGCCTGCCCGTCAGGGAACCCCGGGCGCTGGAGCCTGGCCCTGCCCCAGCGATCCAGCCCGGACGGTTTTATTTTTGTAAAGACCTTCGCAGGGGCACGGATGGAGGCGGGAGACGTCGACGGGCAGGTGAGTTTCCCTGAGGGCGACTTTGAGGAGGAACAGGAGCAGGTTTTGGGGCCGGCGGGGCCACGTCAGTACCGGAGGCCGGCGGCGGGCGTACGCTGAGGCGATCCGTCGGTCCTCCCCGCCTCTCTCTCTCTCTCTGGGGGGAGAGGGCCCCGGGGACCTGCGGCTCCAGCCGGCCCGATGCCCCCCAGGCTGGGAGGGCGAGGAGAGGGCAGCCTGAGGCGTCCCGGCTCTGGGCTGAAGCGCCCCCCCTCAGGCCTATCCGCCACCGTCGCGCTCTCACCTCCCCCGGCAGTGGTATCTCCCGCTGCGTCCCCCCGGCGGTGGCGTAGTGGTACAGCCCGCCGCCCCCTTCAGGCTCCCACCTGGACCCGCGCTGTTTCCCCCCCCCTTCCCGCAGCAGCAGTGGTTTTTTCCTACACCCTCCTCTTCACCCCCCCCCTTCCGCTTCTGCAGTGGTACAGGCCGGTTGTCAAGCGCCGAGGCGGAAGGGGCCGCGCGGCGGTGGGCTCGTGCCGCCCGCCGTAAGATGGCGGCGGCCGGGCGCGGAGATGCTGTGGAGGTCGCCACCGCCAGCCTGTGGCTGGGCCTGCGGGAGAGCGCGCAGCGCTACTGCGGGCTGGCCTTGGAAGGGGCGCGCAGGGTGAGTGCGGGACCCGCCTCCGCCCCCCGGGTCGGCTCTGGCGGACCCCCCCCCACCGCGAGCGCCGGGGTCTTAACGTTGCGGCGCCTCGGCCTTGGACTCTGGTCTGAGAGGAACGGCCCCGCACCGGCGCGCAGGGCTGCGGCGTGGGGAGGCGGGCAGTGCTTGGCCGGCGTGGGGGGCTGACAGCCGGCGGAGAGCGGCGCGGCCGGGGGCGGGCCTGGGGGGGACCCCGGGACGCGCGGGGCCTGTTGGCGCTGGCTCTCTCTTGGGGAGTTACAGAGCTCTCAACAAGCCAAAGCCGTGAAACGAACGCCCCCTGATTTCACACACACGCACACCCTTCTTGGCTTGCGATAGGGGTAGGCTGGCCGCTTTATTAAAGCCGTCGAGGTGAAGGCTTTACAGTAGCACTTCCCAGGTTACACGTAGTAAATGCCCAGAGAAGCTGTGGGTGCTCCATCCCTGGAAGTGTTCAAGGCCAGGCTGGATGGGGCTTTGAGCAACCTTGATCTGGTGGAGATGTCACTGACCATGGCAGGGGGGTTGGAACGAGATGATCTTTAAGGTCCCTTCTAGCTCTAACCATTCTATGATTCTAAGTGTGAGCTACATTAAGCGGGTTATACCCTTCAGAAAATAGTGGTATCCGTTTACAAATAAAACGTATGTGTATTTTAGTATTTAAAATGTGTTAAATCATTGATTGGGTTCAGTATGTTGTTTTAGCATGAAGTTGGTTGAGCAGGTTTCTCTACTGATCAAATTTTCTACTAGTAAATCATAAAAGACGTATCAGTATTGATTCTTCTAACAATGAAATGTGTAGACAACTCAAAGGAGAATTTGCCATAATTGGTAGGTTCAGAAGGAAAAGTTTTCAGAGCTTTATCTAGTTGTCATCATATCTTGCTGTAATTTTTCTTATTTTTTTTTTCTTCACTTGGTAAATGTACAATTTAAAAACCAAAGTCTTCTTCTATTTACTTACTCTGAATTTTGGAAAAATATAGATGTACAAGCCTTAGGAGTAAACCAAGTCAATGTGTAATATCTATTTCTGTTGAAAACATTAATCTCTGTTTCTTTAGTTGAAACCTTTTACTTTATTTTTCAGGCTGTGGCTTCACTGCCTGAAGATATGAGGCCTGGTCCTGATCTGTATGGTTTCCCGTGGGAAATAGTGATTTGTGCTGGCGCTGTTGGAGCCTTTACAATTCTCTTGTTCCTGTATAGAAGTTATCAATCAGTAAGTGTTCAAATTACATGCAGATGTGTGGAGTGTTTTAATGGTTTGAATTGAAATTGTTACTGTGTTCAAGATAGGTAATCCTTCAGAGTTTTAAATCTGTTGTGATTCACTTTAGAATCCCTCTAAAAGAGAAACTGAGAAGTAGTCTTTTGTCAAGACAGTAAGTGTTTGGACGTGTACCGAGTGACTGTTGGTATTAGAGGAAATGCAATGAAACTCACTGTAGTAAGGCTTCCTTTTTCCTTCCCTTTTTAATTTCTACACCAGACTTGCAAAGTCAGCCCTTAAATTATTTTCACAGGATATAGAGGTTTTCCCCAGGCCGTATGTATTGCTGAGTGTCTGTATGTCTCTGTGACTACCGTGGCTATAGCCAGATCAGCTCAGGTCTTTCAAGGTAATTGTAAGCAAAAGCAATCCAGATGGGTTCCCATCATGGGAGGCATTTTAAAACTCTTTGGACAGTGACCTTGATTTATTGGAGCACTGAAGCAATTTTACTGTGTGCTGTTTGTGAGCACTAAGCTAATAACTTTGGGAAATGCAGCACCGAAACCTTTTAACGCACAAATCAGATTATATTCTGAGGGTAAAGGTTGTCTTCTATTGTAAGTAAGGATCTGAGTAATAACAGCTGCCCACCATACTGTCCCTACTAATGAAATGAGGTCACTGTCCATAATGCCATATTTTAAAATTCTCGACAGGTTTTGCATACTTTTAAATAGACAGAATGTCATTTTGGTCCTAGGTGTAATGATGCTCATGTTGGAAGATATGTTGCATACTGGTTTAGTTTTTCAGATATGACCAGCTGCATTTTTAGGGTTCTAGCATCAACCTAGATCTGGAAAATTACCACCTTACTCTGCAGCAGTAGTTCAGATTGTCTGTGTTTGTATAAGTTAATGTATCTATAATTTGGATCATTCCTTCTGTTTTCTAGCAGCTAGGTGGTATGAAAGAGGCTTTTCAGCTGAAATCAGTCAAGCAGCGACTCTTGTTTTCCTCCTGCATATGTCACTAAGGCAGAAGTTTTACAGAAACAATTACAGAAGTTACTGATAGATTTTTCAGTCGTCCGTACTTAGAACTGCATTGACTACTCTGAAGAATTAATGGTTACTTGCTCAAAAGTAATGGGGTTGGGTTTTGGCATGGATGATGGGATAAGATGTGCTTATAACTTTCTTACTCTTTTTTCTATTATTTGGACTCCTCCTCGGCCATTCTGTGGCTTTAATTGAGGAGGAAATGGGAAAAATCTGAAGGACCCATTGTATGTTAGGCACGTGATCCTGGCCCAGCCTTGAGAGGAATGCTGTATTGTAAAGTTTTTGTGAGTTCAGCCAAGTTCTGCATCTCTTGTCTGGGCATTTGTGACCGATTTTGTCCCACAGTTTGTTAGATTTTGATTCTGGGGCACTAGACTCTGCGTGGCAGCTGCTGATTTGGCACTTCCCACTGAGTTGCATCTGGGCAGGATGCCCATCAGGTAGTACCCTTACTGCAACTCTAACTACGATTTATTACAACGTGGGGTTTTTTACTCATAGAAAGTTAAGTCTGAGCTGGCCTTTGGAGCTTCCCCCTCCCACCCTTTTCCTACTCTTTTGGCTGTACATGTCCACTACCACTTTGTGTTGGTAGTCATGGTTATGTGATGTCTATTCAGGAATGTGTTATAGAAGTGATCCAGGTGTAAATTAACCTCCTTTCCTCTTTTCCCTCTGTTTAATTAGAGTGGGAGGACAGGGCAAACACACATGCATGGAAGGGATAAGAGCAAGGATGCAATTGCCCATTTTTAACAGCAGCCTGTATTTATAGACCTTCCATGGTTAAAACTGTTGGAACCACAGCTTAAAACATTAGCTTTCAGATACTGTGCAAGTATAATTGATCAGACATTTTGAGTATTTATTCTTTTTATTTCAGGTTAGAAGTCGACTTTATGTAGGTAAGCTTATTTTTCATACTGTTTCTTTGGAGTATGACTTTTTTTTTTTTGGTCCTCCTTTTATTTGTATGTTGCAGCAGTTAACTGTCTATCTTTTTTTTTTTAGGAAGGGAAAAAAAGCTTGCTAATAAAATTGCTGAACTAGTTGAAGAAAAATGTGAAATTCTTAAAAAACTCAGCCTTTGCAAAAAACAGGTAATGATCCTCATTTATTGCATTCAGATCTGGCACTGAAATTTACCAAGTACTTAAAGTATTAAACTTATCTAAAAGTAAGATGTTTAAAGCATTTTATAGTGATTCTTCAAGTGCTTTTTCCTGTCAGTGCCTTTAAGTGCAAGTAAGGTGTAAGCGAGTTCTGCTTTTAACTCTTAATATGATATATTTTACTGGAAGCAATTTAAAAATGTCTTTAGTTTGTGCCACTGGGATAATCTGCTAGGGCTATGGATTTCCTGATTTCCAGCAAGGTGCATTTGTGAATGTTTAGGTGGTGGCTATGTTTCAGACTAAAGCATTATAAATTGATGCCATTATTTAAGCAATATTTCTTATAAATTCTCACATAAAGTATTTCCTTTTCAGTTCGAAGATTTAGAATTGTCTCTGAAGGATGATAACGTTACGAAAGAATCAACAGATACATCTTTTCTTGAGGTAAAAAGATAAATGGAAATTGTTATTTCTACAACTTAAGGCAATATTTCAGGAAAATGCTGCCCGTATTAAAAAAAAAAAATCAAACCAACAACAAAAAACCTGAAACAAAACCCCCGAAAACTTAATTGTTTTAATTGAGAGTGTTGTTATTTTCGTCCTGGGTTACTGAAAATTACATAGAATCAAGCCATTTAAATTAAGATAAGTTTTTTGTAACATTTGCATTAGAAATGACTGATAATAGAGCAAATGGAATACTAGACAGTATTTAATTTTTTTTAAAAAGGAAGTTTTCCCTATTTCTAGGAGATGAGAGTAGTACATGAAGTATTTTTTCTCACACGTTTTGATTCAAATATATTGTATAGGCTACTGGAGAGCAGTTGTAAACAAAAATTACCACTACATTGTTTATATCTCCCAAAGTGGGAATATATTTGTAAAAGAGTTCTGAGAAAGTGAATCAGATACCTAATGAGCTCTATGAAGTTTATCTAACAAAAAAGCAAAGAGATTTATTTCATTCTGCACCTCAGATCCTATAGAGCTAATTGTTACAAGTTTTGTTAACATGCAAAAGTCTCTGGAATACTTTGAGATTTATTTGATATGGTGAAATTTGTTAAACGTACTTTGCTGTCATATTTAAAACATACTTGTCATCTTCACATGTAATTAATGTTGAATGTTTTATGTTAACTGTCAAAACAACTCGGTTTAGGAAATGCATGAAAAACTGAAGAAGTCAAACATGGAACTCAAACAAGAAATAGAGAATCTAGAAAAAGAACTGGAAGAAGACAAATCTAAGCAATCAGAAAATGATAACTTGGTAAGAGTAAATAGAATCCTGTCTTTGTCATTTAAAAAAAAATTCTCTATGGAGAAGACAAACTATTCTCTTTGGGTTTTTTGAAACAAAAATTACATTTCCCATTTTGTTTCCCCTCATACTTCCTGTAGCATATTAGAAAAATGAGACCCATAAAGGAAAATACTCAAAAAAGCTGGTTTTACTGATTTGGCAGTAGAACCTTCTCAGTTTGAAAATTAAAATAACTTTATTAATTGCCTAGACCTTTTCAGTCAAATCTGTGGAAAAGTCTATATGACAACTAATAATTTTCAGGTGGCTGAAAATCAGAAGCGAGTGGAGTCTTTAGAGAATGAAGCAAAATCCATCCAGTCACAAATCGATGAGGTATGTCCAGTTTTTTATAGTTTCTGTTTTCAAATCTTTGTAATTTTTGTTCTCCATGTAGTTACTGTTTTAATATTTTTTTTCTATTAAAGGTGCAGAAATAATATGCTGTGTAAACCAAAAGACTTCTGTGACTTGTAGACTTGATTTACCAACTTTGAATTTCATGTAGTGATTGGCATTTATGGGGAAGTACAAGTTTCCTTGTGTTTTCTTTGCCTGCTGACTCCACAAAGATAAATAGCATTGCAAAACTAAATCAGCAAAAACTGGTGAAATTGTAGAAAAATGTGAGGATATGTATATAGCACAGCTAGAAATCCTAAGAATAAGTCCAATAATATCATCGTGTCCCTGCTTATATCTTCACCTATACCTATACTCTATAAACAACACACTTTTTTATTTCATTTAGGCCAAGTCCACCCTAAAAGTATATCAGATTAACACAGAGAGACTCAAGACATCCATTCAAGATGCAGTAGATGAAAACAGCCATCTCCAGGAAAGTGAGAAACAGGTAGGTTCTTCCTAGTTATTGTTAGAAATACTGTATTTTTTTATGATACTATGTAAATATGATTTCTCTAAGGAGCTTGTCCTCCATGTGTTTGTTAATAACCCTTGTGTGTTCTGGTAAACGGAATGAGGAAGGGGACATGGCTTTAAAATTATTTTATGTCGGAATAACTTTATCTAAAATAGTCCTGTTTTGAAAGAAATTTAATAATTGGGGTTTGTGGGGAAACATGCATAGAGTTCAGTGAGAGAGAGCGAGAACTTGGTAATGTAAGACTAGTAAGAATTTTGCTGAGACTTACAGGAAAGCAGCAGGATTTGAGCAAGTCCACAGGTGGGATCCTCCCCAGAGGCAGAGAGAAAATGCCTGTACTTGATCCAGAAAACAAAAGAAATTAAGAAATTGCAGAGTATGCAAAAGGCAGGTAAAAAGTTACTGCGGTACCACTATGGATGAATTCATGGAAGGTCAGGCAGGTAATACAATGGGGCAGAAAAGACTGATCCCAGATTTTAACTGTTTATTTTCCTCAGTGCCATAGCCACTGCGAGTGGATGAATTCATGGAAGGTCAGGCAGGTAGTACAAAGGGGCAGAAAAAATCCCAAATTTTAGCTGTTTATTTTCCTCGGTGCCATAGCCACTGCGGAAATGCTAATTATTTTTAAATGTTCAGCATATGTAATACTTGTCCTGTGTGATAACTAGTTTTACGATTAAATTATTTTTTTTTTAACAAAAAGGTGTTCTCTCTGAACATTAAGTGTTCCATGGAATGTTTTCGGATTTTGAGGGTTTGGGGATTGTTTGTTTTAATGGTTATGTGCTTATTTACGTGTCTGACTGATGATCTTGTTATCTGAACAGTAACCTGATAGATACTGGGGTGGGGCAGGGGTAGAAGTACAGACCTGTTGGTTTTTAGCAGTCTCAACTGGGGCTTGCTTTAGTCCTCTCTATCAAAACACTGTGCCTGTCAGACTTACTGATTCAGGGGAAAAAAAAAAAGTTACTGGAAATAGAAAATTTTCTGCAGGAAGAATATTTCAGTTCTGCACAACTCTGTTATCAGTAAAACTTTGTATTTTTCTCCAATTTTAGGAGGGGTACATGTTTGACTACCAAAAAAAAGGCAATTTTATTAGATGCTGTCAGTGGAGAAACAATAGATTTGGGTGTTATCACTGAGATAAAGTTGCTTGAGAATTATTTTCTTTGTTTCTGTGAGAAGGAAGGATCTGGTCTCAGTGCTTTATTTCAAATTTGACAGTATACTTATTAAAAAAATTTTGGGAGGCAATATGCAAAGTTTTAATAGAGAGGGGTTTTTTTGTGTGTTTTCTCTGGTAATTTCTCGATTTCAAACAGAAATCATTCTGTGAAAAGAATCTTCTTTTTCTTTCACTTACTAAAAAGTAGTACTTAGAGTAAGATAGTGCTGATAATTACATTTTATAGGCAATCATTTTATATCAAGCAAACCTGGGAAAAAAATCAGTAAATGCAACTCCCAGTATGTAATTAACTTCCCAGGTTCCTAGATAAAAATAAGTATTTTTGCATTCCTTCTAGATAAAATGGCCTGGGTATAGTGGTTCTTAAACCATATTACTTAGGATTAATTACTACACTTTGTTGTTAACTGAGCTTTGCAGATTTCAGTAATTTGAGAACATTTGTGTATAATGTATTTTGCTGTACTTTCTAGCAGATAAATAAGTTGATAAGATGTGATGGAACCTGATCAGGAAAGAAGAGAAAGTATCTACTTTTGTTTGTACTCACTTTTATGAGGTTGTTATGAGCATGAGAGTTAGTTTGCTATATTAGAATATCCGTATCCTTTTTTTATTTTCCTTTCTTACTTTTTTTTTTTAAGATGGAATTTCACTTATGCTCAAAAGGTAACAAAGGTGTTATTTGTTCACAGAAACTAGAATACTTTCTTCCTCTGTCCATTTGCACTAATGGGTCATAATCTTCTGGCACATCATAGCTTAAATGTTGTAACAGATGTGCTGTCTCAGATTTATGATGTGTCAGAGAGAGGATTGGGCCTTTTAGTTTGAACAAGGGAACTGTTAATGAGCTCCAAACTTTCTTTGCTTTGTTTTTTTGCAGGAGCATTAGAAATATATATTGCTTTAGCTTATTGCAAGTCCTTGCTATTTCTCTTTGTGATTGTTACAGGTATATAAAGTCACGTCAATTTATTTTCTCTTTGGCTTCATGAAGAAGGAATCTCTTAAAGTTTAGCTTCCCTTTGAGGGTGACATTTAATGATAAAAGTAGATACCTGTGTACGTCTTCTGAGCAGTATTAGCATAAAGAGTATTTTTGGTTTATCCATAATACCTAGTTTGCCTGATGCTGCAAATTCATACATGGCTTTTATTGCTTGAAAGGTGCAGTTGTGTGCCAAGTGGGGTTCATCCAGTTCTAGTCACGTACCTTTTGTTTTATGCCTTCTAGTTCTATCTTTAAGTAGTGTTCAGGCTTGCTTCTCTGTTTGCATGGCAGTTCCCCTGTTTAACTACCATTTTCTGATTTTATTTTTAGTATAACTGGCTGTTACGTTCTTGTTGCTCAACCTAGTTATTCCTTTCTGTACATTCACTGCTTTTAAATTGGTTGCCTGTTGTGCAACTTTAAGCAATATTCTTTTGACAGATTCTCAGACAGATTTTCTGTACCATACCCCATGTTTTTGTACTGCATGTTTTGTCTTAAGAGAAATTTGCATCAGTTCGATTTCATTCTCACAATATAAATACATTGTTTAATTAGTTAATATGTTGCAGTGGTTATTTTTAATGAGCTGGTGCTTAGGTGTACTAATACCTTTACTGCTGTAAAGTATTTTTGTGAAATGAGATTTTACTAGGGGATATCTGTAAAATGTAACTGTGGAATCTACCTGTATTTTAGTTAACCATAGTTAATTACAAAGATGCAAAATAGTAGGTGTCAATTACATAGAGTTGCTCTGACTTTCGTGCATAGGGAAGCCTTTTTTAAAAAAAACCAACAGAACAACAAACCTTTAAGAGGTATGGAGGAGAGTTGGAGAAATAATAATTTTGCAACTCACGTGAATTTAAATCAATTTAATAAATAAATAAAGTTTAGAAAGCTTCCTGGTTTCCCTTACCTCACTGCCCTCTTCTAGGTTGAAAAGACAGGTACAGTTTCAGAGTTGTGTGTGTATATTGGAGACTGAGTGTTCTCTCCATCTATTACCAAGCGTTTGTAGCTGTTACACGAATTGTCACTATTTTACATCTATTGCTATCATCACATCAGAGTTTTTTAACTGAGAAGAATATTAACTGAACTGTTCTTATAAATGTTTAAAAATATCCTAACAATTAATTGCAATGGAGAGCTATTGCAGCTAAAGCAACTGGACTATAACATAGAAGTCTTTATTTTTCAACTCTTGCGCTTTAGCTGTCTTGTAGTCTATGTTAATTCTTACTGATGGATGAGAGGTTAAAATTCTGCTTGTGTGTAGATAATATACATAACAGGCTCAAGTACTATTCATCCTTGATTCTTCGTTGTAATAGACAATCACACTAATCTGGTATTTCCCTTTTTAGCTTTTACAAGAAGCTGAAGGATGGGGTGAACGATTTAGTGAACTAAATGAACAAACGAAGATGCTTGAAACTTCCAAAGCAGATATAGAAGAAGTATTGAAAAATAAAGAGGGTCAAGTCAAGGTAAATTGTGACAGCTAGCATTGAATCAAATTAGTCAGACTGATGCTAATCATTGAGTTCCAAGGAAGTCTAACAACCTCTTCTTGTCTTAATATGCATTAAGCTGTTTTGGGTTTTTGTTTGCTGTCTCCATCCTCTAATGTCATGTTCCCTGCTAAGTGAAAAAGGTTGCTTAGCAGCACAACAGAGCAGTCTGATAACCTTTGAAGCCAGCATGTTAAATAAGCAAAAACTCTCTTAGTTCTGATGGAGTATTTGCATTTTTTTAAAAAATCTGGAGTGTGGGAGTTGAGAGTGTATTCTTACATGTGTGCACTTTGTATACACAAGCCCTGCTAAAAGCGTGCATACTTGGCCATCTGAAAGGTGTTCACAAGGGCACACCTGCTGACACGCAGGTATATGTTATAATAGAAGAGTAATATCAGACATATACTGTCTTGTATATGGGGCTCCCGTGATCTACTAAGGGAACTAAGTAAAGGACAGAATTCCTGAAAAAGTAATTATAATGATAACTACATTTTCACTGCTTAACTACATTTTCACTGCTTCTGTTTATTTTACTGTTTCTGTTTCCTGTGTGGTTTTTCTTAGTCACTGACACAATACTTACTGAAGATGAAAGACTGGAGTTCAGCAATAAGAGAAGATGATGACACTGAAGATAATCACTGGGACACGGATATCAAGGGTGAAGCAGAGAATGGGGAGCACTTAGGTACAGTTTAATTTAATAGATGTTTTAGAAATACAGAACTAACAAACTTCCAGGAATGTTAAAAGACGAGCTTCACAGAGGTTGGATTTTCAAAACACACCCAGTGTTATTCTTGATGGAGAGTTCATTGACGCTTGGACACCTATACTGCTATTTAGCAGTGTGTGGGTATAGCTAAACCGTACATATTATTATAGAGCAATGTAAAGAATCAGTGCTCAGTCTCTTGCAGAATAACCTTAGCCTATGTTAGTATTAAGCAGTGGTTCTCAAACAACATTTTTTAGGTGGGAACCTTGCTTTCGTTTCTTCTTGAAGCTCCTCCCAGCAGGAGCAGAGTGGGTTCCTGGAGCCTGGGTTCTGCTTCCTTGTCCTTATGTGGGTGTTACCTGTTGCGGAGGCAGTATGGTAGCACTGGAATCAGAGGGATGTAGATGTGGGTCCCCTCAAAAGATTAGCACAAAAGAGCCTTTCTTCCTCCTTTTTCTTGCTGCAGCTGCTTCTTACACTGGTGCTGATGATACCGTAGGGCACATCTCAGTAAATCTTACAGTGTGTATTCAGCATCTCTGTTTTAACATGAGCATTCTGACTGATTCATTGGTAAACAAAGCACTAGGATATAGGTATATCCCTACACCCCCGTTTTTTTAGTTTTTCTTCCAAATATGCTATACCTATCATGATATGTTGGGGATTGCGTTTTTAGAAATAGTAGTAGTAAGCTCTGTCACAAACCTTTTAATGCGTTGTATGTGACATACTCTGTTCTGTCAATCAGATGATCAGCAAAAACGAACTGTAAAGAAGTTGATCTATGCTGCAAAGGTATGTGATTTTTAAGAAACTTGTGGATGGAAGGGGGGAACTAGAGAGAGTGTATGAAGTTTTGAATGGCAATCTTAATTGCCTATAGATATCACAGAGTTCTGCTTCTGATGTTAGTGTTAAGTTACATATTTTTGCATGCAAACAATTTTTGCTGATCTTAAAAAGCTTATTTTTTTATATTTTGATTGTAGTTAAATGCTTGTTTAAAGACCTTGGAAACAGAAAGAGATCAAATGTATTCCAAACTGTCTGATGAAAATAAAGCTAAAGGAGAGCTTACAGGTAATCAAATGTTGTTTTACCTTCAAGATTAATAAGATGCCGCTTTTGTAAAGTGGAATTAGAGGCTGTAAGTATTACTTCCAGTAAAAACTGAATTACGTTTACATTAGTAGCTCTACTTGATTTTTAAAATGTCTGTTTAAGTTGCTCAGCTATTTTAAGTATTTGATTTTAGAGGTATAGCAATTGAAGTTGCTAAAGCACCATTTGCAAATTTTGTCATACTCTCTTAGAATATTCTATAAATGTTAAGTTACAGAATTAGAAATGCAAAGTGATATTAGTAAATATATAACACCTTCTTTACATAATTTCTGGATATGAAGGAATGGATTTTTAAAACCGTCCATTAAAAATGGTAGCTTAATTGTAATGAGTGTGTAATGGGTGCAAGCTCAATACTCCTTAAAATCCAAAATACTGTATTTAGAGAACTGAACCTAAAAGCATTTTGCTGTACTTTTTCCCTTTGTTGTGTAGGCTGTATTGAATTAAACTTTATGAAATGAAACACTGCCACTTCAGATTAAAGCCTGTAATTAGCTATTGCTTTCAGAAATAACAGCCAGCAGAGTAGCCATCACATTTGAATGTGCTGTGTTACTTGGGTGATGAAATTATCTGTAAAACTGTATTTTTCAGTTTTTTATAGTTCTTTAAACTGACTCTTTGTGTTAGTGTGTTTTCCAAATTGATTGTCTCATGAAGATACTTAAACTTACTCAAAGCTTTCTGTGTTTCTAGAAGAGACACATAGGGATAGTAAATAGGAAAAGAATGACTTTAATTGGGAAAGATAAGGTAGTTTGACCAATCTAAGTTATGCCTTCAGGCTACTGAGCAAGACCTTGAGTGGGTAAAACCGCATGAGTGTATGATAGTACTGATTTTACCCCTTCAGTTGAACAGTTACAATTATAAGAGCCCTAAATGAAAATTTATATTGTGAATTACAAAACTGCATTGTTTTCGAAGCAGCTTCAGAGCAAAGGCTAGATACATCCTCAGAGCTGCACTTTGTGACAGGTAGAAAGTATAGTTGCTGGTTTCCCGTCAAAAGGAGCAATATTGCTTCTCAATTTGTATAATTTTTTTGAACTATACTAACATACTATTGCTTATATTATTAAATCAACATAAGATCAAAGGTTTTTACAGACTTTCAGTGTACTAAAATATTTTAAATGTTTTAATTTTTGTAAATTTTGCATTATCCCAATATTATTATCTCTAAATTTGACAGAACGTATAGAAAACCTTCAAAGTCAGCAAGCTTCCTTGCAGTCTGAAAAGGAACGTTTTGAAAATGAAGTTCAAAAGCTTCAGCAGAAACTTAAAGTAATGACTGAGCTTTATCAAGAAAATGAAATGAAACTACACAGGTGCTGTGTCTTCTTTTTATATTCAATACTTACTGTTTGATTTGAATGTAACTCTTTGATTTGTGGGGTGGAAAATTACTGAAAATTTGAATACTGCTTTCCAGAGTTTTCTGAATTGTAAAGACCCTGTTATGTTACACCATCCTGTACGTTTGTCAACACAGTCATTTTATAGAAATTGTTTCCAGGAAAGTAGTGGTATATTATTTTAGGACTTTTCCACAAGCAAGTGTAGGAACAAAGATAAATAATGAATTTTTAATCTATGAAATAAGGTGGGTGAAGTTGAAAAGCTTCATTATTATTTTTTTAATTAAATTAAGATATGATGTAATGCAGTTGCTGAAAGAAAGATAATCAGTAGCTGCTTTAACTGTGAGGTATATTTTATATAGCAAAGAGAGACAGTAATGTCATCAGAGAAGTGATGCTGTACATAAAACTAAGCTTAAAGTTAAAACATAGGCAAGGTAACTGCTGTGGGTAAGCAACATAGAACCCCTGTGAGTCAGGCCTTCCTCATCCAGAAGGACAGAATTTTGGGACTGTACTATCTGCCTCATGGTCAGGATGATAGTGGGGGTTATAACTTACTGATTGAAATCAGAAATATGTTAAGGGCTAGAAATAAAGTTGATTGGAATGGGATGGGGCATGTAGTAACCTTCAGAAGTGTGTGTGTGGAGGGAGCAGGGGGCATCATTTTAGGGCACAAAGGTATAATGAGTTTTACTAGCCAGAAATTATTTCTTCAAGGAGGAGACATAATCTTGAAGGCAGCAAGCGAAGCAGCACAAGTCTTGATCCTGTACTGAGCAGTATGCAGGACCTTTTTAAAGTTTTGCTTTCAATAATCTGCTCTGTAGTATATATATTTATATAGATATTTGGCATCTTTGTAGATGTAACAAAACCTAGAAATGCACTACGTTAACATATGATGTTTAAAAAGGGGGAGGGGGAGTAGGAAGGAAACTATTAAAATGAAGCTATAACGGGGAGTCAGAAAGGAAAAATGTTTGCAGACTGTGTGGCTGATATTTAAAAATACCACACTGAAGCTCAGCAAATGTTTGCTGCTTATCAAAGATTTTAGAAAAGTCAAAAAGGAGTGGGGAGAAGCTGGTGTGATGAGATAGCAGAATGAAAGAAGCTGTTAGTATTAACAAGGCATCTTTTAAAAAGCTAGGTGTGCCAAACAAGGGAAATAGAAAAGTGTGAAATTAAGATTGAGTATAAAAGAAGTCTAAATCATACTCAAAAAATAATGATTTAGTTTGTTTGCTAAGGACCACTGTTTACAGGAAAATGACAACTTTATCCATTCAGGACTGTATGCAGCAGTAGTATCCATGTGTGTTCTGCAGAATTACCTTATGCATAACCTGCAATCTGGAATATGAGTTTTCTCTTCTGAAGTGCCTAATAAGGCTTAAAAAAAGAGGGGCCTGGAAAGAATTTTTTTTTAATAGCTAATAGCAACCTTTTTCTGCTCCAAAAAATTATTTTAAAATGCAAAAAAGTACCAGAACAAATCAGTGAAAGTTAGTGTAATTTGGTTTTTAGTTTGTTTGATTTGATTTCTGGCTGCTTTTTTTTTTCTCTCTCCCGTCCCAAATAGAAGGGTCGTTCAGCCTGGAAAAGAGAAGGCTCTAGGGAGACCTTACTGCAGCTTTCCAGTACCTAAAGGGGGCCTACAGGAAAGCTGGAGAGGGAGTCTTTGTTAGGGAGTGTAGTGATAGGACAAGGGGTAATGGTTCTAAACTGAAAGAGGGGAGATTCAGATTAGATATGAGGAAGAAATTCTTTACTGGGAGGATGGTGAGTCATTGGAACAGGTTGCCCAGAGAAGCTGTGGATGCCCCATCCCTGAAGGTGTTCAAGGCCAAGTTGGATGGGAAGCAACCTGGTCTAGTGGGAGACGTCCCTGCCCATGGCAGGGGTTGGACCTAGACAGTCTTTAAGGTCCCTTCCAACTCTAACCATTCTATGAAATGTTCTTTGGGAATATGGATTGTCTTCCAGATTCTTTTTAGGAATAGTGGTGATGTAATTGTTTCATATAGAGCAGTTAATGAACTGGATAAACTAATACGAATACAAACTGGTGCTATTTATGCCACTCCATATGTTGCCTATAAAACTCTTTATCTGGTTAAATACCATGTATTCATCACCCCTAAATAATTAGAGGATTTTTTCTTGACAGACCAACTACCAAACTGTTGACTTGAAACAGAATTAACCATAGTTTTTGAATTTTCTTGAAGGAAGCTGACAGTAGAAGAGAGAGAACGCCTACAGAAGGAAGAAAAGCTTTCTAAAGTAGATGAAAAAATTAATCATGCTGCTGAAGAACTAAATAGCTACAGGTAATTACAGATTTTAGTTGCTATAATCACTTGGCCCAAAGTGAACAAAAGGCAACAGGGAATTACTAAGAACACCAGTATAAGTGAATGTATTTTATTCCAGTTTTTTGTTTTGTGTGAGTGTATTACATGCTAGTTTTCTGTAGCAATACGTACTAAGGGAGCTTTTGCTGTGTTAAAATTGGGTATGGAAGATCACCAGCAGCCTTTCTTCCATTAGAGTGCTAATTGTATTGATGTGTTAGTTTTAATGGAATGGAGCTGTTGGTCTCTAATCTAGTTCCCTTTACTGAGCAGAGAGAAAAATAGGAAGTTAAGGGCATGCTGTGAAATGAATGCAATGTTCAGTTTTCCTATAGATCCTAACATGTTTATGTTGTATAGCTATTTCTGTATTTCTAAGCTTGTCAAGTAGTACCATTTTTTAGAAATCCTTTACTAAAATAACCTGGTGTGGGAATATTTTCTAAAGTTGTTTTTTAACTGCTTTGTTCTGTTTTGTGTTACACCAGTGGTGTACCTCCGGTTTGTTTCTGTGGTTTCTCGAACTATGGCATAATTTTTTAAGCTGTAATGTATATTTCCCATCTTCCTTCAATGTTTTGGGGGTATGGACTTTAACTGAATGATTCTGATCAACAGTGCTTCCTGAAGAGCTAGTTATAGGTTAATTCTTTCTCTAGAATGTAAAGTTCTTGTAGACGTTCTTCAGTATTCATACAGGAAGACAGTATACTCTTCTTGATTTACTCAGAATGTGAACTTTGTAGACATTTTAATTTTAAAGAGAAAATTAATGATGCAAATGTAGTGTAACTAACCAGGCTGTGCAGAGGGCAGCAGGCAGCAAGGGTGGCATCATTCTTTCTGTGCTCTTGACGTAACTTTTGTGCCAGTGACTGTCCCTCAGGAGTGACTGAGGCAGCCTGTGGCAGCGTGGTGCTCCAGCCACATTGGTACATTTGGGGAGCTGGGGGAGGCTGGCTGATAGGGCATATGTGGAGGGATATCCTTTATATTGGAAACATATTGCAGACCACTGAAAAGTTGGGGAGACACTGGGTTTGTTTCTGTTCTTTTGTTTACGTTCCTGTTTGCGCTAATCTAGGGCCTAGAATTCCCACTGCTGCTGTAATTTTTATGTATCCCGTGAGCCTAACTGACAATACTATCTTTTGGTTAAACAAAATCTTAATTATACCTTGTGTTTGCTGTTGTGTTTACTGTATTTAAAATTACTTTCCTCCACATTTTATTACAATTTTGTTACAGAGAGCGAGCAAAAGATCTTGAGGAAGAGCTCGAAAGAACCATTCGTTCTTACCAGAACCAGGTATGTGCTTTGTGTTACCATCGATGCCAAGTAGGATGGATGTTACTGGAACTGAAATACCACTTTCAGATAGGTTGTGATACTGTACTTGGCTTGATTTTGCTGGATGGGGTTTTTGCCTCTTTTTTTTTTTTTTTCCCCCCCCTTTCTTGATGCCATCTGGTTTTGGCTGACACAGTTTCATAGCAGAGATCATTTTAACTTAACTTATTTAAGATAATTTAACCTTATTAAAAATTTAAATTTTAAGTTTAGATGTCTCATTGGAAATTATCCATATACATTAAATTATCTAAATTATCTTAAATTTTCTTCTTCAGATCAATAATGATTTAATGAATCTCTTTTTCACAGATTACTTCACATGAGAAAAAAGCTCATGATAATTGGGTAAGTTCCAAATACTGAATATTCTAATCTTTGTGCATCTTCTTTTTCCGTCATTTGAATACCTTGCTTTATCACTTTTTTGTTTCTTATTAAAAACAGATAATTAACTCTAACCTGTCACCTTTAAACATACGAGTTTCTTGCAGAGATGCACAAAAGCATGTTAAAAATACTTGTATGATATGAAATAGTTGGAATAATTAAGCCAGATACCTATGAGCACAGTAGAACAATATTACAATATTATTTGCTGGAGCAATAAATCTGCTGGAATAACATGTTACCATTTAACAAGTGTGTGACATTTTGCTAATAATAAAAGCTTTTGGCCTCGTTTCAATGCCATTTTAATATTTTCCCTGGATGTACTTCACTCCTTTTATCTACTAATAGAAGACGTTATGTCCTGTGAGAACAGTATGTTCCATTGACAGCTCCCTAAGAATGTTGCTACAAAATCCATTTTTACCTTTTTTCCAAACAGGAAACTTTAAAATATCTCCTGACTAATACATTCTTCAGTTTCACAGAATGGTCTGTATAAGATAAAATCCTGTTAAAAGCTATGATGCTTTGTGGCCATAATTTTACATTTTTTTAAGCTATATAATTTAAAAAAATACCAAACTGTCTTCTGTAAAATTTGAGAGTTTAAATCTTGTAAATATTCTGTAGATGTTTCATAGAAGCTATAGCCAAAAAATTTCATTTCTGCAGTTTTAAGAATCTGCAGGAAAGCCATGTAATTCCTCAAAAACTTGGGTGGTAGAGCTGCTAATACCATTTGGTGATGTGTGTGAGGCTCTGTTTCATATGCTTTATACACAAGTCATATCTTTTGAAAATTTGGTCTGCGTGCTTCAGATAGAGGGGAAAAATGTTTTGTATCTAGGACCTGTCACATTTATGAAGCATTAAATTAATAAATAGCAATATCTAAGCATCTGATTTTTGTTCTCCCCAAAGCTAACAGCTCGAGCAGCTGAAAGACATCTCAATGATATTAAAAAAGAAAATGCACATAACAGACAAAAGTAAGTGCAGTCCCGATCAAATTCTAAGCAAATGCAGTTGGGCATGTGAGTATGTTTTGGATTTATGCAATTTGGTGTTTTCTAGACCTATGTTAATCAATTGTGGCCCAAACACAGAGCAGAAAGAGCACAGTTTTCCACGGGAGTTCTGAAAGAAAGGGAGTAATTTGAGCATTCCTGTAACGATAACGTGCAAGAAAGTAAGAACTTATTTCAGTACTTCACATAGTTCTTATTTCAAGAAAGAAGCAGAAGGTTTGGGGGGTTTGTTTTTTGTTTCTTTTCAATAAGTATATATTGCCCAGCTGTCATGGTTTCCTAATGATTTTACAGCTTATTTCAGAAGTTAATTCCGAGCGAAGAGATCAGGTGGTGGTGGTGGTGGTTGAGGGGAAACTTCAGCTGTGAAGTTAAATAGTATTTGGAATGCAGTTTAGAGTACTCATAAGAGTAATATGCTGGGAATTGTGACATCTAACATGGCACTTCAACTTCTGAATTACAATTTATATACAGCAGCATAGAGAAATACTTACCAAACTCTGAATTTAAGAGTTTCTGAGGCATCCTTGGTCTCTTTTCTTTCTATTTAGGGAATAAAATACCTTGCTCTGTTAACCCTTTAAGTAGAAAGTCTAGCAATAAACAGTGCAGTCTTGTAAAATTCTTAGCACTTTTTGGTTATTTACTACTTTTTTGTTGCTTATTTGCAGATTAACTGAAGCAGAATTTAAACTTGACCTTTTAGAAAAAGATCCTTATGCTCTTGATGTGCCAGTTAGACCATTTGGCAGAGGTACAGTATTGAATTGTAAAATAGAGCCCAATTGTTTTGGTTTATGGTTTTGTTTCCTAAGACCACACATACGTAATTGTTTGAAAACTAGCTTGTCCATGTGTATGTACAAATAACAGTCATTTAAAAGAATAATTGGGTCATAAGTGACTCTAGGTCACGTTGAGTATTTTGTTGAAACTAAGAGTGTTTATAGCATTGAAGAGAGTAGACTAGGAATATGATACACATGGTAATTAGAGCACAGTTTTCATTTCACTTAGACAATTTAGTTTTAAACTTCACCTGAGAAGTTAATTACTTTATACAGTTTGCTAAACTAAATATTGTGAACTTGAGTATTTTGTTTTAACTGTTCCAGAGCATTCCCCATATGGACCCTCACCAATGGGCCGGCCTTCATCTGAAACAAGAGCTTTTCTTTCCCCTCCAACTTTATTGGAGAGTCCTTTAAGGCTTTCACCTATGCTTCCAGGTGGAGGAGGAGGAAGAGGTACAATTCTTAAACTTGAAAACGTATCTATCCTGGATTTCTCTCTCCTCAACTATAAACCTGTCACACCTTTTCCTCTTGCTGGTGACAAAAACTAGTAAAACAACCACTTCAATATAAGCAGTTAATTGGACAAACTCTTCCTGTTTTTCAGCTTACTTCTAAAGCTGTCTAACGTGTAACAGTAAAATGGAAAATTTAGTTGCTACTGTTAGGTTGGTCAGTGGATTCACTTTAGAAGCATAGACTGAGAAAAGTGAAGAGCCAAACTTAGTCTTGGTTTATTTCTTGGACAAACGGGGTTCTGCTGAAATGAACTTAGAATTTTAAACTAAGCAATAGTGGATTAGTTTTCTGAGGAAAGAATACTGCTACTTCCATCTCATTGGTCTACAGTCAGTGAGAGGAGAGGGTACCTGTGTTGTCAAAGAGGTGAGACAGTTTTATTGGGTGTCGTGACACTAGAAAGTCACTGATATTCAGTAAATTGTTTTCCTCTCTTTGTTCTAAATTTGAGGCAGCCATTATATATGGAGACAGTATCTTCCATAGTAGTGAAAGGGACAGGAAGGTTGTGTGTAAGGAGTAGAATTCAGAGATTGAGGAGTAGGTGAAAGCAAGCCATAGTGTCATGGGTTGTAAGGGAAGAAAAACACTGTTCATTCATATTTTTGAGGTTGATGGAAATAGTATAGATAAATGCTAGAGTGGAGTTCAGCATCTGTTATAGGTAATAAAGAAGCTAGTATTTAATTTACTGTTACACCCATTGAAACCTGTACTCATTTTATGGGAAACTTGTCTTAAGTGTCTCTTCTATAAGCATTTCACTAATCAACACTGATTTTTTCAAAGACCAGCATGGACTGTTTATTTACTTTAATTCTTTGTAAAAAGCATATTCAGGTGTATATGAAAATTGATTCATTTTCTAAGTCAGAAAAGCTGAGATTGAACATTCAACTGTAGCTGCACCACATGCAAGCAAAAGCATACTTGACAATTTATTTTTATAGAGACAGTAAATAGTGAAACTGAGCCATCCAATGGATCTTTAAATTGTAGCTCAGCTGTTGCTGGTGAAGAAGAGTGAAAACTGGATTTCAGGATGCAGTTTTAGCAAGGCATAACTACTGTCCATTTCATAATGGAGCACTAATGTAACTTGGGCAGATTAAACAAATCATGTGATTAAATAATGCCAGCTCCAGAGCAATTATAGTGCTCATCTCACTTTACACAAGACACCAAATGGCTTCAAATTTTAGGTTGAATTTTAGGATAGAGAGTTAGAGAATGAGACTTGAATTCAGTATTTCTATAATTTTTCAGACCAAGTCTATTTTAAAGGAAACTTGCAACCTAAAATCACTCGTTGTTAGAGTTTATCTTGCACTTGGTTATTTGTTGACGTGGTCTTTTGTTGTTTTTTCTTGAATAAAGAATTAGAAAGAACCAGAAGAGTGAATGTAATGTGGATCTTTTCTTATGATGAGGGTAACTTTCAGTTTGCTGATTTTTAGTTGGATTCATAACAGGTTTTTTAGCATTGAGAAGATTTATCTTGAGGACACTAGTTTCTCTGATTCGAACAAAACAAAACTCTTAAAATGATTTTTTTTTTTTTTTTAATGGAGGTACTCCAGATTGCACTCTTTTTGAACTAAGACTTTTTCATTCTGAACAAACCTTTTAAACACTTCTAGTAAACATAACTGGTCATCAGCAAACAGGTGGAGAGTCCTGTGGAGCCATGCACCTCTTGTATCTTGACAGTGTTGGCATTCCGTGATTTTGTTTCACTGTTTTCAGACTTAATGAAGAAAGCCGTGATAGAGTATTCAAAATACCTGGGTAAATAACTATCTGATTTCTTTGATTAGGATCCAGAGGACCACCTGCCATGTATGAAGCTGGTAACGAAAGAGGAGAGCTGAGTTCTGATAGATTAACTGATCCCCACAGACCACCGTCAGATACTGGATCCCTGTCTCCTCCTTGGGACAGAGAACGCAGGATAGTTCTGCCTCCACCAGGTATAAAAATCTGCTTACCTACTGTGTTTATGGAAAATGGGAGTTTTCTGACTTGCAGGGGTATATATATAAGTATTTTTTGCTTAAAAATACGAGGTGTTTTCTTGGAACTAGAAGTGCAACTGCACTGAAAAGTTTTTTATAATAGTAGCTTTTTTGCCCCTTCTTGAATTGTGGGGTTCACTTGCACTTCTTCTATGCTAGCTTTTGAATATATATTTGTACTGGCAGTGTACAGTCAACTGTTTGTTTCAGCATTTTACTGAAGATTTGTTTAGTGCACCAAAAGACCCGTCTGTTCTGAATAATTAATAAGAGATTTGAGAAAGTAAAATGTTTTAAAGGCACATTAGCCATAAATAAATAAATACATGCTATCTAATGTTGAAAAACACTATGTTTTTCAGAAAAACATTTATATTGATAGTAAAGGAGTACCATAGTACAGTCATCCTGTTTTTTCATGTTGATACTGCTTCTTTGATAATTAAAAATAACAAAATCAGTCTTTGCTCTCACTTCTTCAGCTAAACATCTGTATTGCACATTATCACTCAATGAAGAGAGAGTTGAATCAAAGAGGATACTACTGATATTTCTCAAGTAAACAGTGCAGGGGAAGGACAACCTTCCTGTATACCTGTAATAAAGAAGCAAAAATGCTACAAGTTTAAAAAAAAAATTAGGTAAAGTACACAGATTTAAGTACCCCAGTTATTAGACTGTAGTTACTATACATCTGTGTGAAAGCCTGATTATAAAACTCAAAGTGCACTCAGGATACAGTTCCTCATTTGCCAGATTTGCCCTATTGACAGGGCACTGTAGAGAGATGGTCTTGTCTCTGTGACCCGAGTTCTTACCCGTCTTTGCACTTGGATCTCACTGACTCAGTTTGTCTTGTAGCTGCATGATTGTTTGCTAGATCTGATGCAAGAAAGTTGGTGGGAGCACATCACAGCACTATGAAGTGTAATGGAAAACAGCACTTTTATCTAAGAGTAGCTTAAAATGTGTAGTAACTTATTTGCCTTTGACCTTGATTGCTCTGCTGAGCCTTTGTTTCAAGGCCCCACTCTGTAGAACTGAAGCAATCATAACTTTCACAACTCTACTGTATGCTAAACCAAAAATCAATGAGCTTTCTTTTTTGCAGCTTCTGAGGAACATAAGCTATAGTACATACTTGGTGGAATTCCTATGTTTGGGGTTTTTTAAGATTTGCTTGCTCACCCTGATTAGTAGTCACTTGGGATATTTACAAGAGCAAATGATATCCAGGGAATTTTGCTGGTCTGAGATTATATGGAATCAAGGGAATAAATCTTCACTGTCCTGTTTTGTGATTTCTTCATTGTCAGTTGAGCCTTACACTGATCCAGTTCCTCCTCCTCCTCGAAGACAAGAAAGATTTTTCCCTAATCCTCCAAATACTGGAAGACTTTCCGGACCAGCAGAACTACGAAGTTACAACGTGCAGTCTTTTGATAAAACAGGTGGGAATTGCTTCCATGATACTATCAAATGGAAAATCTCAGTATAGGTTGACCACACGTAGTAAGCCATGGTAAGAGGACAACTTTATAGCTACCACAGACCTGATGTTCCATTGTGTAAAGACATTTATAACACCTGCTGGCCTTGATGCAATCTGTCCCTGTTACCAGCAATAGCAGTCTCTTCTTGGGTGGATGGGATTCATGGAATGGTAGGCATGAGGCATTTTTTTTGTCCACCTTCACTGTTCTGTGTGTTAACCATTCAGGCTTGGCCTTAAGCCTGTTTTTGCCCCTCCCAGGAGGCTTAATGCAGCATTAAAAGAAAACCTTTACTTTTAAAACCTTTATTTGCATTTCCATGATGCTTCTGGTAAAGTCAGAAAGATTTCAATTCAGTAAGACTGAAAGAATAACAGCAAAATTTTCAAATATCCACTGGCTTTGCTTACTGAGCTAGAAGGTCCTGAGGCTGCCTCCTTCATACTGTTCACCAAACTTGCAGCTTTTTGTAGTTCACAGTGCAGTTGCCCCCAGCTTGGTCACACGTTCCACTGACCCACAAGTACCATTTCTTTTAAATTGACCAATTGTGTAAATTCTAGTTTGTGATACTTAGCAACAGCCAGAAGCTCAGAGGCAAAGTTTTGGTGACTTCAACCTTATGACTGAAACAGTTTAAGAGCTTAAAGCCTAATACTTCCTAAACAGTTTTCATCCTTATTTAATGCCTCGTAAGTCACAGGTGTCTGAGTCATCAGCTCAGCTGGAGCCATGAAACTCACAACAGCAACTTTGCCACCCAATATCCAGTTACTCATATGATTAGTAGTGAGTTATCATCTTTGTCACCCAGTTTCTGGGCACTGAAAGAGAGAACCTTTGATACTTGGTGTCGTAACTGGGAACGCTGAATTCTGTGGAAGGTTAAAGGTTCAGGCTTTAAAAGGAACTGCTTCTGTAGAGCCTTTCTACCCCCTTTCCCAAGACTCTGTGTTTCACTTCTGCTTTCTAATACTTTGTGTTCCACAGAGGTCTCTCCTAACACCTGGGTGCTGACTGAGGGGCAGGAGAGGTGCAGTCTTTGCACTCACGTGGTGCATCCATTTTTAGCCTTTTCCTCAACTGCTGCCAAGCAACAATTAAACAAATTCTAAAAAGTGTATTCAGTTCCTGGGCAGTTCAAAACCTGCTTGCCCTACAAGGTTTTGGGTAACCTTGCTGCCAGCATTTAAGCAGGTCATTAAGCATATGCGAATGTTGCTTCTTAGAAGCATGTAATTTCACTAGAATTGGGTGAGTATTTGTAAAAAAATTGGAAAAACTCGAAAAAAATCAACCTCAAGACCTACCCACCACCCACAACACATCTGACAGCACTGAAATCCAGGCTCCACCTCTAAAGAGTGAATGAGCTACACTTTCTCAGCAAGATGATCAAAATGTTATTTAGAGTGAAGGAAATGATGTGCATCTCCCTAAGCTGAGGTGGCTGACTCTCCTAAAACTTTCAACTTGAGGCAGGTACCCAGAGCAGGAAAGTCCTTGTGAGAAAAAAAAAAAAGACTTAAAAGCTTGACAGAGTTTGTGAGCAACTTTACAAGGATTTAAAATGGAAAGTGTTGTGCAACCAAAGCATCAAGGCATGAATATTCTCTGTGTGACATCAGCAGTTGAAATGCTTCAGATTGTTAAGTAACAATATCTCCAACAAAGACGTGGTCTCTGTGCCAAGAGCGTGTCGTAGCGCAGTTGGTCCCGGAGTGGAACTTAACCAAAGAAATAAAATTTTAGCAGGAGGGAGGGGGACTGGAACTACTGTGGTGGTGTTAAGATGTACTGCTAGGAAAGCGCACTTGTAATTTCTAAAAATACTAAAATGGAAAAAAAAAAAAGTCTTGTTTGGATACAGGAAACTTTGGTAAAAGCTGGAACCTTGTAATTCATGTGCAGCCTGTAGAGAAGTTGGAGAAAATACTCAGGCACATGTTTGTGTTCCTCAGTTGTCTTTCAGCCTGCAGAGCATTTGCTTAGTGCCATGATGCTTTTTTTTTCTTGCCTATGTATCTTGACTTGAGGTAAAAAGTACTGTAATCCATGGTGGACTGAACAACTTGTTTAACTTTTGCCTACAGATGGACAGATATCTTCAGAAAATAGCCCACAAACAGAACCAAGTGGAAATGAAATGAAAGATCATTCTAACCTTAGCGTAAGTAGCTAAACAGAATCTTGATTTAAAGAAGCTTTAATGTGCTGTAAAATATTTAGGAAAATGTGTTTATAGTACATTGGTCATGTTATATTGCACTGTGCAGTCAAAAGTATACACAGAATTTTATAATTTGATCATAGCACTTACTGTCTTGTGAATTAATTCTCATGTATGACTAATACAAATCCCTGTTGAAGATTAATTAAAACCCAAAAGATGAAACTGTGGCTGAGGTGATGGTGGGTGCACACAGATAGCCCTGCTCAGGCTTGTGCCATCACTCAAGCAGAGTTGGAAGCAGCTGTTGGCAAGTGTGATGTTGTACCCCAAAGCAGGCCTGATGGACTGGAGCTGTTCCCTCTCCTTATCCCCTTCCCCAAGCTCACTCCCCTCTTTTCACTGTTGCAGAACTCGCTGCCTGACCAGTCCTCGGCACCTGAAAGCGAAGCTGTTGGTTCAGGGTTTGCTCCTCCACCTTTCCCTCCAGTGCGACCTCCGTTCATGCCTATGGATCCCAGAGGGCCGTTCATGAGACGAGGACCTCCTTTTCCTCCCCCTCCTCCTGCCGGCATGTACGGACCACGGGAATGTTTTCCAGTACGAGACTTTGGGCTTCCGCGCCCTCCAATGCCAAGTACGTAGCTTCTCCCAGCATTTCCTTCTCTGCAGGCAGGGAGTTATCACACTGGGTGAACACTTAAACCTTTATGGGCACATACTGCTTACAACTGGGAGCATCTTTTCTGGTGAAGGTTATTTGTACCCTTTCTTCTTCACAGTAGCTCATACTTTGAGCAGCCTGGTCTAGTAGGAAGTGTCCTTGCCCAGAGCAGGGGGGTTGGAACTAGGTGGTCTTTAAGGTCCCTTGCAACCTAAACCATTCTATGATATTGATAATATTTTCACAAATATTAGCTTTGGCTGACAAATACGCATACACACACTGTCCAGCACTTAAAGGGTTCTTTTTTGGGGTAGAAAAGCCAGTAGATTCTTACTTTAATCTTTTTCCTCCTACAAGGTTGCGTCATAAAGTTCCATCCTTTAGCTTGGAGGTATTGCTGGTGTCCACACAAAAGCATGCTATTTGGCACGCAATTACTTGTTAATTGATTTTCTTTGGAGTTTGCATTAGTGGAGCAGGATTTGTCAGACTGAAGGGCCGTTTCTGCCTCTTGCTGTTCTCAGCTTAACCTGTGAAGAACTGAACAGTTATTTTCCAAAGTAGCTGTGAGGTTGTACAGCTCGGGGCTGCCACCGCAGAGCAGAGGTGATGGTGGCAGCAGCCCAGTGACAGCAGTGAGTGGCTGTTCCTGCTGCTGTGATATTGATGGTAACTGCCCCGCTCTGATTCCTTCACAGTAAGAACCCCCTTTCCCATGAGATCTTACCCTCACTATCCGCCGCCACGACCCGGATTTATGCCGCCACCACCCCCTCCTGAACACAGAGCTGAACCACCTCAGTCCAGCCCATCCCCTGCAGAACCACCCGAACCACCACAGGAGACCTGACAGTCACAGGGGCAACGCGCTGTACCCTTCCTCTACTCCTCTCATGGCATCTTCCCTTCAATTCTCAGGATAGTACTTTGTAAATAAAGAATGAGATAAGTATGAATATTGTGAATAAGTGATTTCCACTGTACAATAGTCATTTTAAATTAAGTATTTCTAACTTGAGTAATCTCTTCAGAGGTGTATAAAAGTCCAAGCTGCTTTATCCTTGTTTAGCTGTACAGGGGATTCTCTGCATGCCAAAAGTGATGCTTGCTGCTTTATGGATAGAATGTGAAAAGAAATGGAAACAGTTAATAAAAGTCTACTGAAAATGGAGGCAGTGTCACTGTTCATGTGGTGCTGGGGAAGTAGCTGAAGTGCAGAGGAATTAACACTGCTCCCTACCACACACATACTCTGTTAATGACCTGGTAGGCAGCCTCTCAGAGCTTTGCAAAGTGGCAGTTGTCCCACCCATACAGAGGGAGTACAAGTCTTCAGATTTTAACACTGGCCTTTGGGAAGCTGGTGGGACCAAAAAAACCACTTCTAATTCCTTCAGCTCTGTCCTCAGGGAGCGGTTGGGATTTAGCAACAAACTGGACAGAGGATGGGGCAGGAGCTCATCCCAACAGCATACAGGCAATGAATCCTGCAAGGCAGAACTTATTTCTTGTCTACAACAAGCCCAGAAGCCAGTACACCCCATACATGTAGCAAAAAAAAAAAAAAAAGGCAACAAAAAGGGTCAAGAATGTGCTGCTGTGGCAAACATTTAAAAAAACCACCAAACATACATACCGTTTTAGACCTGAATTGTGTCCATGCATTTGGCTTCATAAAAAAGCAGAATTAAAAGTCATGATATAGTTTGCTGCTTGTTTCTTATAATTAATAATTTTGAATGCCTACAGAAGCATTTGGTGTGTTGTCTCCTCCTCCTCTCCCCAGGAGGTGACTATTTGCTGCTTCCCTTGTGCACCGCCCGTGTCCCCGCAGCCAAGACCTGGGATGGGGACCCAGCCTGGATCCCTTTTCCTGACTCCTGGGCAGTCCAAAGACTTCTGCTGGAAGCCGTTGGCTCTTCTGGCAGTTCAGCTTCAAATGGAAACCCGTGTCATTACTCAGAGTGCGGGCAGGTGGTAAGGGACTCTTTAAGATAAATAAAGGAGGAAACTTTTTTTAGCCAGCCCCTGCCAAAACACAGCTGCCACCCCCCCGCTTCTCTGCACACACACGACCTGCAGTTTCAGCCTCTAATACAAATGCAGCCACCACACCCCATAATGAGCAGGTCGGAAGAAAACCCTCCAGCCCACTTCTTTTTAATTGCTCAGGTCAGGTCTGCCAAGGGAAAGGAGCTTTTTCTTTCTGTGGCCCCCACTTCTACCGCTACTGCCACAGAGACTCATTTCAGCCGCAGAGCTCTCCCATGGCTCCTCCTTCCAATTTATTCTCCATCCTCTTCCTCATTGAGTCCTCAAGGGACATTTATAGGCCTCTGTACTCAAGCCATCCAGCAACAAATTGGACAACAGACTTTGTAAAGCATCACCAGTGTTAAGCTAAACAGCCACTAAAACAATTTAACTCAGCTGTTGCATCATTTTTAGCCAATCAGTTGCTTTCTAAAGGCTCTAAGTTTGCCGAAAGGCTTCACCAGGATTCTGAAAGGGACGATGTGGTTTTACCCTCGCCCTTCCTGTCAGTCCGAGGACCAACCAGAGCTGCCAGCTGTCACCTTGTCCCCGTGGGCAGAACCAGGGGAGAGCACTGAGGTCCTCAGTTCGACAGTAACTGCCACCAGAAGAACCCTTTTATCCAACTCACACTAAGATTATATATGTAGCTATATCTTTATGAACAGTGTTTGCTCTGTGTGGGTTAAATACTTGTTCTAGCTTGTAACGAAGTTAACTGTCTGCAAAAAAAATCCATTCTTCCTCCACCAAAACAATCTGCTCTGTGCCCACAGAGATCCCGGCAGCTGCAGGCAGCTCAGCAGTAGGCTGGGCTGAGGCGGGACAAGCCCCTGGAGAAAACAGAATCATTTCAGACTTCCCCCCCCCAGTAATAGCCCACAATTTTATCTGCAGACAAGCAATTTTAAAACAAGCTGGGATTTACGCCCTGGTGCAGTAACCCCACAGAGGTGTTTAGAGGGGTTTAAGGGAGAAGGGTGACACGAGCGCCCATGGGGTGAAGCCCTTGTCCCATCCCCTCCAAAAGAAAAGGCATCTGGTTTTAACAAGGGAGGGCTTGCCTTCCAGCTCCCTGCTGCTACATGTAGGACACAGCAAGACGAGCTTGACATCACCGACTCTTCAGGAAAAAAACAAGGAAAAACCACACACACAACACAATCTAAAAATCCCCTTTGGGATGACACAAACTCAAAGTCATTTCAGAGTCCCAGGGAGCGTGGCCCCACTCCAAACACACCTGCACTCTCCCCAGTAGGACCATCTGACCTTTCCTAACACTTGATTTCCAATTGCTTCAGCCCCTTCCCCCTGGCATCGCTAACTCAGGTTACTGCTAAAAATACACACAACCAACAAAACCAGCTCTTACTTATTTCTAAGAGCACAGCACCATCAGCAGCGTGTTGCTCCAACGCCACTCCAGGCGTGGGTTTCACCACTCTCTTCACGCCTCGCTGGGCTCCCCGTAGGTGTAACACACACGGACCACTATCATCTTTCTTAATTACACTGACTCGGGGCCTGGAACAGGCGCCGTTCCCAGGGATTGGACCTCAGACCACAGGGAAAGGCAGAGCAGGAGTAACCACTACCCCTTGGTACAGCCGGCTGTAACCGCAGTGAGTGGGACTGCGCATCTCCCTGCCATCCGCGAGTGGCCCCTTCCTCCTGCTCTCTATCTTACCTCTCAAGATTAAGTTAATTAAAAGCAAGGCGGAAATTAGGTTAGCCTAAAATGAGAAACACATTTACGTAACAGAAAACAGGTAAACAAGGCACTTTCCACAGTTACCCACAGGGACACAGCGCTCGCCGGAGGGACAATTAACATCCTGCACCTCTGTTCAACCTGGAGGCCACGGCATCCCCTTCAGGAAGCTGCACAGACAAAGAGCCAAAAAGTTTGATCACTTTATGACCACATTTAAGGACCAGATGACGCTGACCAATCCCCTGGCAGATTTAACTGCTACAGAAACCTCCCTCCTGAGGCTGAGCCCTGAAAGATATTGAGACTAAGTCCCTCTACTTTACCAGGACACAAAAAGCTGTTATTTACCTTATTACCCCTTCAGCACCTCGGTAAATGACCTCGCTTCCCCACTTGAGGAGACTCAGCAGACCACGCAAACGACTCTCACACTTGGTAGCGGTTTGGAGGACCAAAGAGATGAAGCCGAGCAGCTCAAACTGAGCACTCTGTGCCAGGAGGGGATGGGGGGGACACCCCCAGCAGCCCCCCCAGCAGCTCTCACTGCTCACCCAGGCACAGCTCCCACTCCCAAAGCACCGCTACGTTCCCTGAGCACGGATAAAACGGCAAACCGAAGCATTTGCAGGTATTCATCATCTATTTAATAGTGGGACACCAAAGAAGTACTACACATTTTTTTCTTTTTTTTCTTGAGCACATTAGATTTTGATTTAAGCAATTGCAACGGAGGCAGGAATTTCTCAAAAATAGTCTTCTATATTCTACAATCCACAGTTTACTGTATCAGTCCAATAAGTCACATCATGATAAACTGTTGGTGCTAACTGGCCTGATAGTCTGATCTTTAGCAAAGCATCCTTCCCCGTCCTCCACCCCCCAAAATGTTGACAAAATTCAGCCAAATTAAAAAAAAAATAAAATATTACTGTACGACTTATTTTAGACTCTTTTGTTGACCTAAACACAACGGGAGCTACCAGTTATACAGAGCTTATGAACGATGTTGCGTTTTAATTCTAGAAATCTTCATGCTGATACAATAAAGTATTTTATACAGCGATCAATTTTTAATGCTTTATTCATTGATTAAAAGAATATACATTTAACATAAACCATACAACATCAGTCATCAATTCAAACATTCAGCTGGTTTCCTTACATTTTCTGTCAGGAGTTTTTTTTTTATCTGATCACATTTATAAGATAAAATCTCACCACATCTGGCATATACACACACTGTGCCAGTGGATTCACTCTACTGATGTACATATAAAATCCGCATGGTATGTGCTCACTGGAGACAAAACAGCGCACACCTGTCAAAAGGTCATTTTTAATATAAGATGGTAAAACCATTTGTAAAACACATATAAACTTTTTCCATAAATAGAATCATATCTGGACATCTGTTGCATAAATTGTGTTTTCCAAAGCTTACAATATAGCAGCCAGGTCTCAGCACTGCTGGGCACCCACGTTGGCCACTTACTTTATTATTGCAGACTGTCCTTTAAACATTAAATGCACAACATTCGTACCACTTAAAACTGGGGTCAGGTGGAAGTCTCACAGAGACCACGTCTGTACCGCGGTTGCCCTGAAACAGTTAAATCGGCTTTTAAAGCCTCTCAGATATAACAAGATTTTAAAACATACTTCATGGAATGTTCTTCATGCATCATAGCAGCTCATACCTGTGATAGAACAAGCTTTGTATTTGTTTCCTTTCCTTCCTTTACATTCACTATTCACAGTGAAACAGGTGCATGTTTGTTAAGAGTTCTGAGGTTGCTGACTGAGCCACAGCACAGCTGTGTACCACAGGTCGAAATTCGACCTTATATATTACAATCTAGCAGTATCTGGCTGGCCAGAAGTTGGCCTGCCCCTGCCAGCATGTGGGCACTTCTTCGTTTTTAATCTATTCTTTGGCAGCTGACACAGGCGCTGACAGAGAAAATCCAGTGACTCGGTTGCTAGGGATTTCACGACTAATGTTTGTTTGCAGGTGTTACCTTTGTAGCCAAGTCTTCACTGTTATGTTTTTACCTCATCGGAGTGCACGTTCTTGGTTGGTTTTTTTTGTTTTGTTTTTTCTTTTTAAACTTTGGCCCAAAGCTAACTTTTTAAGGAAGATGACAGAACACAAGAATAAACGAGGAGGAGTTTGCAAGGAATCCCAAAGACTACAGCTCATGGAGTGAATCTGTTTAAGTAAGTGCAGGTACCTGAAAAGCTGGTGCTTCCCACCGCTGCTTAACAGCTAAGAAAAGCTGGGACTGGGCCTTCAGTCACGCTTCACAATCTGCACGTGAAATAAAGCCAGGTGAGAGTCTTACAGCCAACAGCCCCGGAGAGACTTCTCTTCCTTTAAGCCTATTAAGTAGCGTGCTACCAGATTAAGCACACAATGACAG